AGTGTGGATATTGTCATTTAGTTGAAAAGCTCACCTAAATTAATTAGCGTGATTAAGGCATAGTGGGGTGTACAAGTGGTCGCCAGGGGGGAGGTTTTTTTAGGATTTCAATGCAGATAAATAAATGGCATTCATTCAGAAGAATGAGTAATAATTAGTAGAAGTGATTTGATATTTTTAGAGTGCGTTGTTGACTTCATGTGTTTGTATGTTGACATGGGGCGTGCTGTGAAAGATTAAGTGTCTTGGAGCATGGCTTTCCTATAATGCGGTGCAAATGAAAATCAACACTAAAACTGCTTATCATTCACAAAACTTAAATAAGAAAGTAAAGTACTGTACATGTAATTAAAAAGTCTGTATGCAAGTAAGATGGCTGGCTGATAAAGGTTGCTGGTGACTTTAGCTGTGTCATTGGGCAAGATACTTTACCCACCTTACGTGTATGAATAATATAACAGTGGTAGATTGCCACCGAAACTTTCAAGCAGATGAAGTTGACACATTGAACACAGTAGTGGAAATAGAGCTACGAGCCATCAGAATAGTCAATGAAATTATATGATTGAGCTACTAAATTAGTGTTAAAGAACATGAATATTCAACTGTAGATGTTGTTTTTCAATTAGGAAATTAACAATCCCAAACATGAAATGAAATGTTAACCCTATTTAAAGGTGCACTATGTAACTTTTTGATTTGGGGTCATCACTTGCTTGTTTCTATGGATATGTCATTGCTCTGACAGGAAAGTTCTAAAAATGTTTCAGCCTGGCTAACATTAAACAGCTCTACCTTTACATTTATTCAATTACAGATGGTTTTATAGCTCAAAAATACAATCTAAAATATTTACTTTGCATCAACATAAAATAATTAAGCAGAAAACTGACATCAACATAAAAAAAACCAACAAGTGAATATTTCAGTTATCTTAGTATCAGGGCAAGATAATAAATAAAAATAAGGTTGATTAGAAAAGGGACTAAAACAGCAGAGCAACACATTTGGAAATACAAGCATGCAAAGTATTGGTTAGTATGACTTGGCATGACTGTGGAGGAAACTATCATAACCATTATTTATCAGACCCATGCCCCCCCGTCCTCTCATGTATTCTCCTGTATTCCCATGTCCCAGGTCCACAGCACACAGGTATATGGCGTGTGTGATTGCAGAGGGCTTATCAGTCCCAGAGCTGTGTGCACACTGACACACATGGCCAGTCAAGCATGGGCTCCAGCTAACTGTACAGCTCTGTCCACAAGATCACCACTGCGACTGGTGGCATGGGGCTGTGTACGCAACGAAAGGTTCACTTTAAAGGTCCTATATTAAACAAAATGGATGTCTGTGTGCTTTTAGCTGTGTTATAATATTGTTACCTCATGAAAACTTCACTTAGACGGACTTTATTGAGCCACAAGGGAAATTATTTGGATAGAGTAGCTCAAACATCACAATATATCATAATAGCAAAGACAAAAATATAAATGGTCATAATAAATTATACATATTTTTTTAAAGGACCTATATTATACTATTGTCTGATCTATGTTAGACTTTTGGTACCTCATCATAAACATACCTAGAGTTGTGTTTTGTTTCATTCACACATGTTTTGAGTAATCCAAAGCTCAAAATGCTCTGTTCTCCTTGTGATGTCGTGTAATAACTACCTTTTTGTCTTTAGTTGAGTAGAGATAAGAAATTCTTGGTCTGAAATCATCCAAATCCAAAGTTTAAAAATACACACACTTCCTGTATTACCACATGACATCACAAGGTGGAAGAGAGTGTTTTCTGTCTGAGAGAAGAAGCCTAAATATACAAGGTCTGTGTGCTAAACATGTATGAATGAAACTTAACATGAGTCTGGTTATGTTTTTATGAAGAACCAACATTATCAGGAAATAGTATAATATAAGCCTTTTAAAGAAATATGTCATCTTATTCCACCCAAATGTTTTATATTAATAAAATTTGCATCTTCAAGTAACCTGAAAATACTTTGCTCCACCTTATGACCAGGGCTGGGTATCATTAAGAAGTTGCGATACATATCTCGATACAGTGAGCTTACAATTCGATACAATATATTTCAAATCGATTCAATACGGTTCAGTAAAAATAAAGGCTAAATGATGGCTGTGATACTAAAAGTCTTTGTTAAACCACTTCTTGTGCAAAGTTCATAAGAAAGACAAGCATATTAATCATCAAAACACTGAATATCTCAAATGTGTTGCCTTTCTTTCTTTCAATATATCAATATTTCAATATTTTTGCAGACTCCTACTTACAACATCATCAGGCGGTAATACAAATTTTGCTCCTCCATGTTATTAAACAACATTATACAACTTCACCAACACTCTAATTATTGTCACTGTGATACATTTCAGCTTCGAAACAGCTATGGAAATGTTCTTTCAACAATTCAATAAGTGCATCTTGAGATTTCACTGGTTCTGCTTGGTTTTTGCCTTTATGGATTTTGTAAGAATGAAAAATTTAAGTACCATAAACCATAAATCCACCTTATCCAACCAACCTATTGATCAGGATGCAAGTTTCAACATTACACCTATGAGTGTAACAAAATCCACCCAGGTTACCAGGGGTGAGGGAAGACTAAATAAGACATGAGTGAACGTTTTATGCTCACATTCCTTTACATTGCTACATCAGATAACTTGGATAATGGATAAATCACAGTCCTTCCCCGCTGTGACCTGCTGCGAAGGGCTAGTCTGATGAAACATGATGAGTATTGATTTGGGGTTGGGCTCGGCGCAGGGGGAGTCCACTGTCTGTAGGCTGCTTTTGCACACACAGGATTGGCTATAGGTTCAGCGGATTTGCAGATTTGCAGTTTGTGGAATGGTATGGCTCAGTTAAAAGTGGTACGGCACATTTTGCTTCAGTAATCGCAACAAAGTCTGGCAAGCTTGCTATTGTGTACATTGGCGTGATGTCCATTTGGAGTTTAATGAACCAGAAATAGATACACATTTTGTTGGTTTGTGAGATATTGTATTTGTTGACTCAATAACCTGCATACATTTTTTTTGCCAAAAAAGGGAAAATAATATCTAGGCTACTTAATGAAATTGTTAAAAGGGACATACCTACCTGTTATCTCCTAGATTCAGCTTTAAAAAGTTCTGAAATGTAGCATAAACATTTTCAAAGATTAAAAAAAAAAAAAAAAACACAAGTAACTACTCTTTTGAAAAGTCAATATGAAGGAAGTCACTTGACCTATTTCTATTATTATACCATTTTAGATTAATATTGTGGTTCTCAAAATATAAAATATTGAAAATTCTGTCATTTTAAAGTTCAGTTGTTGAAAATTCAGAATCATTACCTCACAGAATTGTAATAAAAAAGTACTCTCATTAGGCTGCCACAGGGGTCCCAGTATTTCTTTCTTAAAAATGTTTTTAAAATGTTTTGTTTTTTGTGTTTTGACATGTATTTTTGTACGGTTATAAAGTCTGATATTGCTGTAGCATTTCTGTTGGTTGTCATTTTGAATTCACATATGATTTTAGATGTTTCTGTGGATTAATGGAAATAAATCTTTGAACCATTCCCAAATTTGTCCAAGAAACTACACAAATATGAACTGTAAAGACGTCAGTTATGGGACTCATCTTGTAAATGTTAATAAGCATTTTGCCCCGTCTTTCAAAGGCGCTTGATTAAATACTATTCTTCTAAGGACAGAATTATGAGGAGCAGACGGCATGCATACTCATTTATGTGAAGCAACACAAACTCTAGCTGGTGTGCACATGGGGCTAGCTGCGGCTCGTTCGCTTGATATTCACATGGTGCGTTGGTCTGGAATTAGATGAAACAGATATGCATTCATTTCTTCTCTGCTGATTTCTCACTCATTTGAGCATATTAATTTCTGAATGTACCCAAGGCTAAACACAGGCAGTCCAAAAACAAGGATGAGCAGTGGGCGATGCATGCTCGTTTTCAGAACCTTGGATGTGGAGGTGGAGAAGTTATGGCTAGGTTATACAAGTGTGTGTCTCACTGCAAAAAAGAACTTCAACATCTTGCAGCTAAATTAAAACTTACATTTGTAATATCTGACATATAAATTACAAAGATTTTACAGGGAAAAAATCTTGACAATGATCGGGTTAGGACTTTATTACAACAGTGTTTCTCAACCTAAAGTGGTCCAAACTAGACCGCTTGAATAATGGATAAATGTTGCACTGTGAATTGAATCTGGATTTCAGAATTAAATCAGAAATTTAATCGCAATCTCTATTATAAAAAAATTAAAACAATTCTAAGTGCAACCCTTGTTAAATCAATATTGCTAAGGAAATAAATACAATTTTCAAAAAGTGCAATTTTTCTGAGAATTAGTACATTTTTTTTAGATTTATGTTCAAAAATTAGGATTCTGTGTGTTCTGTGTTCCAAGTGCATGTTGTAAACAACTCCAGGAGAATTAAGATTCAAGAGAAGACTAAATATGAACTGATACTAATACCAAAATCCTATGAATTTCAGAATATGTATAGTATAGGTTTAGACCACAGGTACAAGATTTTCTCTAAAATATATTGTGCAGATTTGTGTTTTGATAATTACACCAGTTAAAATAAAGCAAGATGGAGATACTTTATTGATCCCAAGGGAAATTCAAGATTTGCTGAAACAAATTTCACTTTCCTTGAGATATATTGTACAGCTGTAGTTTACAAAAGAGAAATGTTGTTTTTGTAATGCTAGCAGATAAAAACATGCACAGCCAATAAAAGTTGCGACTGGGTTCAGAGGCAAAAATTGTGCAAAGGAAGAAAGAGATCTGCATTACAGTTCTTTGAAGCTTCCAATTTTTTTTATTTTTATTTTAATGACACCACAATGTCACGTTTCAGGTCAGGTCCTTCTTCAGACATTTTTTTTGTAATGTTCACACCACATTTGCATTACATAACCTCTTTTTTTCTTTCCTCCAGGACGTGATGGTAGTGGGGGAGCCGACCTTGATGGGAGGAGAGTTTGGGGATGAGGACGAGCGTCTGATCACACGGCTGGAGAACACGCAGTACGACGCTACCAACGGTCTGGACGATGACGACGACTTCCACAGTTCGCCCGCCCTCGCCAACAACCCGCCCTGGAGCACCAAGCCCCCTAGTGGTCCGGAGGGGAAGGCAGAGAGCACAGCGCCGCAGCCCACTCAATAAAACTACACGGGGAATGGGAAAACAATGTCAACAATTCCAGAATGGGACTTTTTGGACTCTCCAGAGTGGATGTTATGGATTTATGGGATATGTGCTGCATTAAAATGATAGCTACATTAGTTGACATAACATTTATTGAATGTTTGAGAAGCAAGTAAGTAATAATAAGCGGTGTTAATTTCATCAACTAAAATATTTCATCATAGTTTTCGTCAGTGTTATATTTTTGCTGACTTAAACTAAATTAAAAACCTAAAAAGTCATATTGGCTGAAATTATGAGAAAAGGAACTAATAGAAACTAGATACAAGTTGTACTTTTCCATCCCAAACCAGACATAAACAATAAACATATGTATATACAAATGCAGTACAATCTATTCTGTATTATGAATTTAGGTGAAGATTAAATACATGACCTAAAACTATAAACATAAACGTAATTTGACTAAAGCTTGACTAAAACTAAAAAACAGTAATAATTCGCAAAGTAATTAACAATAAGAAAATTAGTGGCTGACTATTCATTCTTTCTTAACATGATCGATCCAGACTTTTTAGATAAGACCTTGAAGATTTATTTACAATATTTCTGATTTATTTTATTTTGTTTTTGTTTTTTACAATACTTTTACAATGTATACTCAACTATATATACTCAACTGGTAAGAATTACATTATTACGTTGAATGAAACAAATCATATAAATTGATACACTAATCAAAACTACTCTAACTTGTTTTTTAATCTGTATTCAAGTCATTTCAATCACTGTAGCTATCCATTTTTGCAGCGAGAACTCAAATTTTCAACTTTTCTCTGGACGTTAAGAATTTTGGGAGAAATCCAGCACAGCAATACCCACAAAGACTTGAGCGCATACCAGTGTGTGTGACAATATGTAAAAATATCAACTTTTTTTCCTCTTCAGTGGACAATGGGAGAATTAATTCAACGTTGGATCAATACTGGATTGGTTGAAGTCGTTTCGGAAGCCAGCGGGGAGAACATAGAATAACAAAAAGCAAAAACGTCCAAAATGGCAAAATTGCAACAGAAAGCAAAGAACTTTCTTCAAATGAGAGATTGTTTTGGAGGCAATTTTGTTTTTATTGCGAATCCAGTGGGTTTGTTTTCGACCGCCTCTTGCTGCTTATTTCAATTTGCAATTAAGGAGGGAAATAAAAGTCCACACAACTGCTCCGACCAACTACGGACTCCTTTTCGAATGAGCTTTTAGAGATTGTTTTACGGCGGCGCATGGTCACACGTGGTGATTTCATGCCAACCGTTTTGATTGTGTTGTAGTCTTATCGCTATTTTTCTCTTTACAAACCCCAATCATGTAGTCATTTTTGTGATCCTTGCCTTTTATTTTGCCCTTCTCAGAAAATTTGGTCCCTTTAAAAACGACCTATTCCCAAACTGATGGTAAAGCCTGCATGATTTTGTTCCGTTTGTCATATGTAATTTTCCGGAAAAAAAAAAAAAAAAAAAAATCTGAATTTTTTATAATCAGTTTGGGAACACTGTTAAAAAGGTTTGTAGCTATGTAAATATAGTGGAAAATGAACTGTCGGCTAAGAAAATGTTGGCGATATGGCAGCTGTAGTTTTGTATAGGAGTTGCATTTCTGTTGGATGGTATGGACAATAATGATATTTCTATAATAATTAGCAAATGTATTTTTTTCAGTGCGGAACCAAAGCCACAATTAATAGCCAATTTAAGTTCATGTACATTCTGTAATAATAATTTTGCCACCAAGTCCTGTCCACCCAACAGAAATGCTCGGAGATATCTGTAATTGTGTTCTTTATTCTTTCTCGATAATTTTTCCTGAGATGTTTTTGTTGTTTGAAAAAATGAGCAAAGAGGACAAACAATGGGAATCTTTTTACAATTGGACCCCGGGTATTTATTTGTGCATTTGTAAGGAAGCTAACACATTTTTAAATATGTTTGAGGCTAGTAATATTAGACACCATTTGTACATTATATAGCAGAGGTGTTCAGTGTCATATCTGATGTCTGGTATGTATGCTTTACCATTATCTGTGCCAATAAACCGTGCTTACAACTTTAATACTTGGGTTTGACAGAATCATTGTGTTCTTGGGCAAGACACTTCACTCACCTTCCTTGTGTATGTGATGTGTGAGTGACTGGTGGTTGAAGGAGCCAATGGAGCAGATTGGCAGCATCGCTTCCGTTTGTCTACACCAGGACAGCTGTGGCTTTACCATCATCGGGTGTGAAAAGAATGAAAAATGCACTGTAACATGCATTTTGTTGTCAAAAAATATATGTAGAATTAACTACTTATTAGCTTTAAGATCATTATTATCTCCTCATAGTTGCCTATTGGTGTTATCATGTAATGGCAACTGGTCTATAAACATCTCCAAAACTATTATGAGTATAGATTCAATTATTAGAGCAAACTGACAGACCATTATGCGCACGCAGAGCCTAAAACTAACCAGTATGAAACCAGATATAGCCTACAATATTTAAATTGTGCTCCATAAATAAATACCTGTCACAAAGAGGTTGTGTATCAACTCAGTAAGTCTGTATGGGTTCACCTGGTAAAGACTGTAATCACCATTAAAAGATCAGAATATAGAATGGAATAGGTCTGCAATTACAATTGTAATTTTTGCATGACAAAAACATAGAACAATGTGCACATATAAATCATTCTATGATATTGTCACCTATAGAGGCATTAGCAAAGACTTGGCCTGCTTATATAGGATTTCTGTATGTCATGTTAATGGTTGTGGGGAAAGAGCTCTGTGAAAGAGCCACACAAGTGGATGGACCTTTAGTGCCACCAAGTGGACAGACAGGAAAAGGCACTGAAAGAAAATTGCTATTTCATCGTGAAACACGGATATATTTCACAGCTGGTCAAAATTTAGAGTAAAGTAGGCCTAAATTCTTTTTTTTTTCATGTTTGACATAAAAAATAAAATAAATATTTAAGCATTAAAAAGTAACACTAGTAGTGTTTGAGACCCTATAAGCTACACAATATATGCATTGTGAGTAAAATAATTATAATACTGACACAACCAGAAAGTTTAATGATGGTATCTAATACATCATTTGAATAAAGTGACCGCAGTCCAGATCATAAACAGTACGGTCCAGACCACAGACATAATGAGAGATATCCTTCTGGATTTCCAGGCAACCAGATCATAGACTGTATGGTCCAGACCGTAGACTGTATGGTCCAGTCTTATACTAGACTTTCACACAGTCTCTGGTCCTGACGCTGATGACGTTGAGCAGCGCGCGCACGACGCACCGCGCACGGCGGCAGCTTCTAAAGTAAAGATGGCGGACATGATGAGCTCGGAGCTGTCAGAGGAGAAGGAGCCTGATGGTCGAAGGAGGAGGCACACACGGCCGTGGGATGACTCATATAAGTCCGCAGAGATGCCGCTAACTCCGGGGAACCCCGAAACTCTGGGCTTTTACGACGTTAGCCACGTTGGCGACTTGACAAGTGATCAGCAGGAGCACTCCCCAGGTAAGCCGTGGTGGGCAAGGGTACCTCTGCTGTTGACGCCTTCATCTTTTGCTAATTAATGTTTCTTTTATATATTTATCACTCCGTCTATTTTATGGTCCAAGAGTTTAGCTTTCAACTTGACCAATGTACCTAATCAAGTCTGCTACCACGTTGTGTTCATCGGCTGGAGAAGCGCAATGTTTTGTGGTGGTAAACATCTGCCAGATCTGTAACACGCCTACAATGCTAGCTCCTTTATACAAGCTAATGTACGATAATTAATATTCTGCTAACTTAAAGTTCATCTTAAAACGATTATTCTTGATCATAGTTTGAATAACCCGGAAAAGTTAAAGTGAGCCTGTGTAGATCTGTGTGTAAAAATGTCAACAAACTCTTTTCCATGTTAGACTAGAGCCAAATACTTTCTAGGCATTTTACATGGGTTACATTGCTACAACCTGTGTGACCTTAGCTACAAATTAACTATTAACTATCTCACTATTATGCAATATTTCCACTGTAAACACCAAGTAATTTTGCTCTACAGTAAACTTACATCACTGTCAAAATGTAGCCTAGTTGGAGCTAATACTGCAAATATAATGTCACCAGGTTAAAGTGCATTTGTTGACATACATTGTGGATATGGGTGAGATAAGATAACTGTTGGAAGTTACAGAATACTATTACTACAACTACTACTACTATTACTACTATTACTGCTACTTCTACTATTACTGATATTTCGACTACTGGTACTGCTACTTCAACTACTACTACTACTACTACTACTACTGTGACTGCCACTAACTTATTTTGAGCTCTAGTTCATGGTGCAGCTGTTGTGATTTTGACCCCATGTTTAGAGGACGGCTATATTTACTAACTGAAACTGAGGACATCTTAACCCCAACCCCAATTAACCCTGATGCCCCTTCTCAGCACATGCAGCACATATTTTGAGTGTCCAGTCTGTTCAGCTTTGTGTTTGGATAATGATGTTTGACAATTTACAGTTTTCTAACAAGTGAAGTGGAATAATGTTCAGGACAGTATGGGGTCATTCGTGAGTTAGAATGCAAAAGGGGGCAAAAGCTGTTGAAGTTATTAACAAGTTAGTCCTGTTAGCTGTCAATTGACTTCAATAATGGATACAGTATAAATCAAATATAGTAACAGATTATGCTTGAGTCGTCTACTGGCAGTCAGACTCCAATTAAATAGAAATTCAACAAACCCATTATTATTGATGATTATAATAAGCAAATAAAATACCACCTTAGAAAATATTGGTCTATTACTCAACATGAACTATACAAAACCAGTTTTAGTGTTTCCTCTTAATAGACACAGCGATTTAAAACAGGTCTAAACAAAATCTGAACTTGGACCAAAATGAGACTTGACTGGGATGAACCTAATCCGAGACTAAATTTGCAACAAACTTTTATCATTTTAGAACGAAAACAAACAAAAAAGAAAAAGAGACTGACACTAACAATTATCACTAACAGTTTTTTGTTTAAATTTTTTAAAGCTACAGTATGTAACTTTTAGCCAAACAAATGCATAATGCATTGGAAAATGTAGAGCAGCCTTACTTTGAGCAAGCTTGCATCACCACAAACCTGACTTTTATTTGGCCTCCTGCTTGTTTCCATGGAAATAATGTTCCTTTGGCTATAATCTTCCACAGTATATCATAAAATACATCTCTATGGAAGTAAGGTACTTTTATTTCCATGGAATCAAGCAGTTTTACCTTTTTAATAATTTCATGTTTTCCCCTTCCATCCCCTTTTATATTGAAGGAATTGTTTTAAGAGAAAGGCCCTGACTGACTGACTGTTGTCTGTGTGTTCCAGATCCATCGCTGTCACGCTTCATTTGTACAGAACTCACCAGTGGCTATTTCCTGGAGCACAATGAGGCTAAATACACAGAGCAGCGGGAGAGGGTGTATACATGCATGCGGATACCCAAAGAACTGGAGAAGGTACAGTATATAAACGGATACATCGTGTACATCGATACCACAATACAGTCTGCGATTTTGTTGTTCATTAAATGGGTGGGTGTATTCCAGATTAACCCTTATGCGGTGTACGTTTCGTGTTTACAGATTTAGTGCTCAGGGTCACAAAAGGACCCGTGACTTTCAATATTTGGTTGTTCTATTTATTTTTGGAAATTTATCTAGTTATTATGAACCTTATAAAGAGAAAAGTATATCTAAAAATTGCTAAAAACTGCATAACTTTCAGCAACAAACATTTTTTGATGTGCAAACACACGTAAGAGTATGCTAACTTTTAGTAGAAGTTCTGTTTGGAATACATTGTAAGTTTTTGCACAAATAAAAAAAAAGGACCCATCCATCACTTTAGACTTGCCTTAGGCACATATAGTGTAAGATAATTGTGAGTTTTCCTCTTGTAATGGCTCTCAAGACGAACACACTGGTGTATAGTTTAGTCATTTTTCTATTAAAAGAAAATGTCAAATTTGTGTGTTAAGATGACACTAAATAAAGCATAAGTTTTTTTCTGTAGTTATTCAGAATGTAATATGTAGTGATGTATAAACGCACACTAGGCTATTTTGATGTTTTGTAAAAGTTCAGTTTTGAAAGCATTGTGATTTGTTTAGATGGGAGCCTCACCCCAAAAATGCTGAACAAATATAATTTATTGACAGTCATGTTTATATAGGTCCATATAGTGTGCGTCCACATACGACTGCTTTGCTCTCACATAAAAAAATACTATTATCCTTTTTGGATGAAATCTTGTTTAGCACCTCAAGAACATTTGTCCAGTGTGTCATTCTTGTATTTTCATAACAAATATATTAACTGTTTTGGTTAAATATTGAATTGAATATGACCTTATTTGCATAACATAAGCCATGTGGCCTGCACATTGTTCCTACAGGTACAAAACACTTTATTTCCATGAGCAGTGCATACATTTCCATGAGCAGTGCATGCACACTTTATTTCAAAGTTCTGTTCATAAAGTTTTACATGTTACCTTTGCATAGCTTTTATTCACAATTATGGGCACATCTGAGTAGATTCAACCTAGTGATGTCACAATTACATGTTACTGTTTCCAAACAAATGATCAGACTTCATCCACTGTTTTGAAAGCACATTGTTGGATGATAGAGAGAGAATCTACTCCATCTGTAGATGGATGAGGAAGAGTACATGTGTTCATTGTAATGTTCAGGCCACAGATACACTGTGTGGACTGTATGTTTCAGTGTTTCGGCAGGAAACACCCTTTAACTCTAATTCTTTTGACTAAACAGACAGCTCCAAACTGCCCCTCAGGGGTATACACAGGAGCAGCTCTTATGTATGTGCTTCTGGCATGGGTGTATGTGTGTTTTGCTCAAACAATCTAAATATTTGATCCATAAGGTTCATGTTGTTTGTGTATCGGGGGGAAGGTGGGGTATGATTCTGTTCAGTGAGATGTCCTCTGTGCTGTGGATGTGTCTGTGGGACTTTACAGTTTGAAAACACTGCAAAATCCACTCTGTTGTGCTTGGTCTGTGGTCCAGGACACAAAACAAAAATGTAATTGTAATTCATATATACAGTTATGAAAACATTTTAAATTGATTCTATCTTTAGAAAGTGCAGAGGTGCACAGATGGGCAAAAAATTCCTGAATTTCATTAATGTTGAGTCAACTTAATCACAAGATGAACATGCTTTCAGGTCTGTAAAGGACAAAAACACCACATAAGGGTTAATACATTTACAGACATCCACAGTGAAGTTATGTAAATGTCATGGTGAAAAATAATATTTTTAAAGTCTCTGTACCCGATTTCATTCCCCATGTATTTGAGCAAAATCTGTCTTGCCCCATTACATATATATTGTATAAACAGCTTTTAAGGTCAAAATATCCCTGCTACATGCTGTCTGCATCTAATTATAAAGCTTTTACTATTTGATAATCAGTAAGTGCACATTAGCATGGTAGTTGTTGTTAGCTTTACTGTCACGGCAAAGGTCTGCTCTGGTCTCTGAAAGTTGTGAAACGCGCTTATAAACTCATCACCATGAATAATTATGATGCTCGGAATGTATAAGGTAAGTGAGGAATAACTTTGGAACCACTGCAAATTGTTTAAAATGAACTAGTTCTATTTTTCAGTTTTTAAGAGTATAAACCAGGTGCAGCGCCTTTAATGTATATTGGAAATGGGACAAAATCTTATGAGATAAAATTGCCACAAGATTGTGCATGCACAAATAGATTTTTAATTCCATATGTTTACATTTAGGTTTAACAAAAAGAGCAGTGGAACAGAAAATTGTCTGGCCAAAATTGAGAACTCATCCACAAAATGTTTTTTTTATCTCATCCTGTTAGATCCAATCTTGTGTCATGCCTTGTGGGAATTGTCCCATCTGTAATGTGTATAATTTTACATTTCCTCTAACATTCCCTCATAGTGCAATTATTGTGGAGTTGCAAAATTAACAAAAATGTTTTCACAAGAGTAATTTCTTCATTATGACTGCACTCAGATGATGCAAAGGACCTATGTAGTAAGTAGTAACTCCTGGTTTCTCATCTTTCTGCATAAACCAAAGTGTAAGAGACAAAGAGCATCACTGAGAGTAATACTGAAAACATACAAAAACACAACTATATTACTTTTATAATTATTGTCTTGCACCTATTAAAATGCAAAATAAATGATGTATTATAACCTTACAGGTTTTCATTTGAGTTGAATACCCAATAAGGTAAACATTGAAATAATGTGTTTATGAGGCGCTATTTTTGTTGTTCCCTTAAAAATCACTAGATGGCAGTCTTTACTCATGAGTCCTATTTTGTCTGTGCAAGAAATTGGCTCTTCTTAGTATTTATACTGCAGCAATTCTGTCAATAAACAGAAACAACATATAACACATTTGGATATAATTTGAGGCTTTTGTCTTAGGGGAAATGAAAACAGAAGAATTGCATCCTTTTCTTTTCTTGTGTCACCAGCCACGACCAATCACATGGCCTGCTCGTTTCCTCATTCCTTTAAACTCTGGTGTAGTCTGCACTTTTGAAATAGTTTGGAGTTGGTCAAAGAAAATTAAAGAAAAAAAAAGACTATACAGAATAAGTGTGTGAAATGTAGAAGTGAAGAGCAGGTGTTTTCAAAAACAATTAGGTTTAGTGTGTTGGATTAGTTGCCTTTAATTCAGATAATAGTAATAGTAAAAAATAATAATAATCTTGCCTCCAAATTATGATTTAAATTTAGATTTTGCATGATTGGTCAGATTCGTATCCAAAACACAATTTGAATAGACATGCAGCAAGTAGGGTTGTCGCTTTAACCACAATATTGCAGTATATGTATGATTGATTGATTGATTGCATTTATATAGCACCTTTTAAGATACCCAAAGCGCTTTACAGTTCATTATTCAGTCACTCCACACTCAGTGGTGGTAAGCTACTACTGTAGCCACAGCTGCCCTGGGGCAGACTGACAGAAGCGAGGCTGCCAATCTGCGCCATCGGCCCCTCCAACCACCACCATCACTCACACCCAAGCCACTTTCATACTAGGCAATGTGGGTGAAGTGTCTTGCCTAAAGACACAACGACAGTTTTTGCCACTGGCGCCCCACTGTGGCACCTGCAATTCGTAGCGGTCTCCCATCCAAGTACTACCCAGGCCCAGCCTGCTTAACTTCTGAGATCTGACGGGATCAGGCTTTTAATGAGTCTCCATGCACATGATCTGCAGAATTTTACAATTTTACTATGAACCAATTAATGTTTACACGGCTCTGAGCAAATGGGTTCAAATACTGGGACCTGACCTGAACCTGCGCACATTTAAACTAATGGCGAACCTTGCAAACACGTGGTTTTGTTTGCGTAAAGTGTTCAAGTCACCCTTCATTTTACTATTTACACTAAAGTGCACTCATTGGATATACCGCACATAGAAGGTTTTAGTTGAGTTTGGGACTAAAGCACCTGGACCATGGAGCGAGTAAGACAAGCCCTGCTCTGCACGTGCCCTGAACATATCCAGGTGAGGAGCTTTGCCTTTTCACTGTGTTCGCCTGTATGATTCGTGAGCTGTCTCATTCACGCTGGAACATCGTTTGTGTAGTTTTAATGAGTAGCTATAAAACTATTCATAAACTGTCTCCTGTGTGTTCAGGACACTACGCGCTTTTTTCTTGTCTCTTGCTGTTTTCATTTTATAATTGCATAAGGAATAAAGTTGTCCTCTTTGGACAGGTAACACATGCAAATACAGAAAATAACACTCAACTGCAGGATTTATCACTGTGGCACTCCTCCATGCCTAACTTGGGACCTCCATTTAGTTTCAAAACAACAGAATAGTTCAGGTCATATGTCTCAACATGACAAAGCCTAACCAATGGAGTGGGTGTGGAAAGTGACTGATGCAGATCTATAGTCAAACAAACATCAAAATTATAAATGAAATGAAAAATAATACATAAATAAATTATATTATTATTAAATTATAATATGTATTTATTTAAATAAAAATAATAATACATTAAAATAATTAATCATCATAATCATAATAAAGTTTAGTAAAAGCCATTCAATTACAATTTTTTTTATTTGATTTTGGACTCGATGTAAAGTAGGGCTGGGTATCACTTACCACTTAATACGTTACGTACCTCGATACATAGGCCATGATGCGATACATATTTTGATACAGGGCACTTTTGATACGATATATTGATACAATATATTTCAAATTGATTTAATACGGTTCAAGTAAAAAAAAAAAAAAAAAAGCCTAAATCATGGCTGTGACACTAAAAGTCTTTGTTAAACCACTTCTTGTGCAAAGTTCATATGAAACATCCCCATTTTAATCATCAGAACAGTGAAAATGTCAAATGTGTTGCATAAACGAGTTTCCTTCCTGTGAACAAGCAACAAAACTGTAGTGCTGTAACCAAATAATTGAGTAAAATACACCAAAAAATACTCTTGGCGATTGATACAACAGTCCACAATATCCATACTGTATCATCACATTTAAGTGATACAATATATCCATATTTCTGTGTTTTTGCCCACCCCTAATATAAAGTAAAGTGTATTTTGGTGCAGTGGTAAGGTAATCAAAAGATTTAGAACTACATCGACCATGATCCTTTGCTCCATTTTATTCCAGTCAATAAGAATCCATTATGTAAAACAATAATGGTTGCGAGTTTTGTCAGTGCATGTTGTGTCCTAACTGTGTATGTGAGGGTTTAACTTGTATCTGGCCTGATGTTGTGCCTGTGTGTTGTAGCTGATGCTGTTTGGCTTCTTCCTGTGCATGGACGCCTTCTTGTACGCGTTCACCCTGCTGCCCCTCAGGGTGCTGCTGGCCACGCTCCGCCTCCTCACACTGCCCTGCTGCGGCTTTAGGTAAACTCTCCACCTTCACAACTTCTCCACTACCAGATTCGTTCACTGACTTTCTCTGTTGGCAAAAGTTCTACAGAAATTTAATGTTAGATTCTGTTCTTTTGATGTATAATGGGGGCATTGAATTATAGATATTGTAGAGCGCAAGATACAGAAAGTAAAGTTTTGTAAAGATTGCTATTGACTATCATAACTTCATTTTGGCCTATTTTTGAATTAATAACATTATTAAGAATTAGATTGTGAATGCCCATTGTTTAGTATCAAGGACAAAGCACATAAAACATTGACCTACACAAAAGAGAAAGTTTGTTTGAAAAGCAGATACTAATCGAAAACTGCGATTGAAACTAACAAGTATCGATACTAAAAACGGAAATTAACCTCTACTGTATAGCTTTAGAAAGATCTTGAGCTGTGTCAGAAGAAGTATAAGACCAGACAGACTAGTATACACCCATGGACCACTATGGAACCTACATAGATATAAGATCACATAGTAATATAAAAAGAAGTACCGTATTTTCCACACTATTAGGCGCTCTGGATTATAAGGTGCAGTTTCATAGAATGGTCTATTTTCAAAATTTTTTCACAAATAAACCGCACCTGACTTGACCTGAAAGGAAACACAACAGTTAGATGGCTCAGTCGGACTTTGTTTGGCGCGTTCACGGTGACTCTGGGCTTTGTTCAATTGTGGCGTGTAGGGAGCTTGCTGTCCTGGACCGCTGGATTGTTGGCGTGTTTGCAGTGACTCAGTTGTTCAGTTGTCGCTAGAAGTGGCACATTGCATTCGCTTTTTCGGTTCGTTCTTCCATTCCTCGTTCACGTGAAGTGATTAGTGTGGCTCCGGGTGTTTGTCGCTGCGCGGTCGCTGTCTGCTCTGTGCGTGTTTGCGTGCGCTGCAGGTGGTGCGGCTTTGTAGTTTTGCTGAAGTTGTCCTTGGACGCCAGAGTGGATTTGTGTATAGGGCGCTCTGGATTGCGGGGCACGCAGTCGTTTTTTGATGGGGTTGGAGGCTTATGAGCACGCCCTATGGTGCGGAAAATACGGTACTCCGATTTAATGTTGAAAATTGCATTCTGTTGTCTAAATAAACAGTGTTTTTTATTATCATTGTGGTATCAGAATCAGTATTGAGAATTGAGTGTATTCCTTTGTATCAAACACTACTACTTTGAGATGAGATGTACATTCATGTCTTTGGCCTGGCTGTATACAGTACATACACACCAATGTGTTGTTCCCTCTTGTGTGAGTTCTCTCCTTGCCTCCTCCCAGCCGCACACACGTCTGTCCGTACTGCCACAGGACCAGGTAGGCTCAGAGCATCTCTCACTGCTCTACAGCTCTGCTCCATCAGATCTCCACTTTTTCATTTAAAAGGCACCATTCATTCCTCCTTTTTAAAGTTTATTTTTATTTTATTCTGAGCAGCATCCGTGCTCATTATTGTTGAGCTGATAGTGATTTTCTTTTGCCTGTGCACACCCGAGGGTTTTGTTTTATACCATGAGTTTGTCATATCCTTCCATGTTTACATTTAAAGAAAGAAATGTGGAATAAAGCAATGCAATTCCCCTTGCATTTAAAATGGTAATAACTATGTCCAAAAACAAAGCTATCAGCGATGAGTATGAACCTGTATACCTAATAAAATAACTGTCAACAGTTCAATAATATTTTTTAATCTTTGAATAAAAAAAAGGTCTTAAATCTGTCTTGTACTGAACTTTTTGTAGCAGCCAATAGGACAATTAATCAGACCAATTTTGGCCCATACAATATATTATAATATTTTTTATATCATCATATGTATTTACAGTAAGCCAGCGTTCAACCAGACTCGATTATTTTTTTAGCAGACCAGCTGATCTCTGTGCTCGAAGTCCATCAAGGTTAAAACTACTACTTGAAAAGCCTGACAACCAAAATACAATGACAACTGTTCTATTAGTTGAATAAATGACAAAATCAGTTACAATACCTAACCATACCACTAGATGGTACTCCAACCTCAAACATTTTTTTCATGATAAACAGTATTCCACATTAATCTTTTTTAAGCACAATTGATGGCTAAAGTGTTCGGCTAGGCTCATTTGTATATTATTGTCTAAATCACAAAAAGCTAATAATTTCTTTTCCCTTTTTAGGTCAATCACAGTGTAGTCCAATCAGTATCTTTTATCGTGCACACAATGAGCCCCAGATGTGAATGTCTTCCAGTGCGACGATCAGCTGCGCTCTTATTCGCCAAACAGACACTTGATTAAGCTCATTTAGTCGCCTTGTTCTGTGGCCAAGCAAAATTATAGCCACTTAACGATAATCTTAGTTTTTCTCTCATTTGCATATACATGGGTTTCACAGTAATGGAAAACTGGGCCCGGTACCATTGCAATTAACACTTCAAAACTATTTTTAGTGTATCTTGCAAATGGCCAAAAGTCCTCCAAATGGCAGCCATAAACATGAGCCTGAAACATGTACAGGCTGTATATAATGTTTAAAATAGTTTAAAATATCTATGCTGACCTTTGTTTTGAGATCTGTTCCAAGAAATGAAAAAAATGCTGGACTAAATGCGATGGGCTAATGAATAAAATATAGATAATTACTACAACAACCAGAAAAATCCCTTGGTTTCTGTCACATGGCATCTTCCTGTTTTGAAGAACTTTTTGAAGAATCTTTCCCATGACAAAAGTGTAATAGCTGGATTTGTTTAATCTTTAATTGCTTTGGCAAAGGTCTCCCATTTACCATCACCGTCAAAATAGTTTCTTCAGTTCTGACAGCTATTTGGACGAGTGGAAAAAACGTAGTTAAAATGTTTGGTCAGTTGACGATATTCAATTTTCTTTTTGTTATGGAACCTACCGTCCATAGTGTGTAGTTTTATTTCTTGATGTTTTGCATGATGAGCGCAGAACCATTTAAACTCCATACAATCACTATCCATGTAAAATGTCCAAAGGCTGCTCATGTTCTTCAGTTGTAGTTTTATGTGGTTGAATAAAAATGTGTGTGTGTTGTTTCAGTGGGAGTCGACTGCTGCAGCCGGCCCAGGTGTGTGACATGCTCAAAGGCCTGATCCTGCTCCTGTGTTACTATATGATGCACTATGTGGACTACGCAATGATGTACCACCTGATCCGCGGGCAGTCTGTTATCAAGCTCTACCTCATCTACAACATGCTGGAGGTAAACATGGATCGTTTAAAAGACACGTGTTATGCAGAATTTACTTCTCTTTAGCTCTTAAAAGGACTCTACCTGATTTTTACCTCTCAGTCAGTCCGCCTAGCATACAACATGTTACAACCACAAAACAGAAGTTCATTTTAAACCATTTCCAGTGGTCCAAACTTATTTCTCAGTTACTTTATGAATATACAATATAACAATATATAATGCAGTTTGCCCAAATACATGGAAAATAATCGGGTACAGGACCTTTAACCATGTTATAATAAGTTTGTTACAACTGCAGGCTTACATTAACATGTCAAGGCATTTTTGTTATTAGAAGAGGAAGTGTAAAGAAAGTGAATTTATTTACTAATGAGAGCTGAGAGGTGATTAGTTGGGAGCCAATTTCAAATTGCACCTTGCACTCGGCAGTGAGAAGCAGTTGATACAACAATAATCTGTAAGTAGAACAAGAAGTGTCATTTTTAAATGTCCTGTGTTCCTGTGTTGAGGTGGCCGACCGGCTCTTCTCCTCCATCGGTCAGGACGTCCTGGATGCTCTGTACTGGACGGCCACTGAACCTAAAGCCCGAAAGAGGGACAACATCGGAGTCATCCCCCACTTCATCATGGCTCTCTTCTACGTCTGTATCCTTCAGACTCTAACAGTTACTCTAAAGCTGCTTGTTACCATTTTAATTAGGACAGATATATATTGTCAAGTAGTAGGAGTAAGTGGGGTAGTGAAAAAGTAGGAGTGGTAGTAGGAGTAGTATATAAACCTTAAACGACAATAGAAAGGTAAACTATGCACATAACTATTCTACTGAATTGTTTTTAGCATATTTTTTAAGTAAAATTTGTAGATTATTCTCAGGCTGTTACAATTAATTACAAGAATTGTGACAAGTCAACAATAAAAATAATTGTAATTGTATTTTGAAAATAGAACAGTCTTGAATGTCAATTTCCTGAGTATTGTCCAGTTCTCCACGCTATCCTCATCATGGTGCAGGCCTCCACACTCAACGTGGCCTTCAACTCCCACAACAAGTCTCTGCTGACCATCATGATGTCCAACAACGTCAGTATTGCCCACACGGCCACACACAATACACACACAACAAGAAGAACAATCTGTATGAGTTACAATAGACTGAATTCAGAATATTAAGTTGTCAAAAGAATTTAGTTTGTTGTAAGACAGTAAGACATTTGTTTGAGATAAATAGGTAAAAACGTATTACTTCATGAACAGGTACATTTGCATGAACCAAAAAAAGTTTATAGAAACTTACCTAAATCTAAATCTAAATCTAAACTAGTCAAAAGAAAAACTGTATTGTCAAAATCACAAATCTATTCAGTCAACAACAGACGAAATATAAAATCTTATATCAAATTTTGCATAAGACTGATGAAACTCTTCTGATGTAACTGCAACAGGATTGTCTTCTGAATAATTTATGGATTATGTTAATTATTCCCCTGTTGTTGTTGGGTTTTTGTTTGTTTTTTTAGTTTGTGGAGATTAAAGGAAATGTTTTCAAGAAATTTGGGAAGAGCAATTTATTCCAAATGTCAAACAGTGGTAAGACACGGTTAAAACGTCTTTTGTAACTAATAGTTTGTGTGATGTAATTGAAGTGTAATTGATGTGCTTTGCGAGCAGATATTAAAGAAAGATTCACCAGCTATATCCTGCTCCTCATTGTGGTTCTGAGGAATATGGAGCAGATGGCGTGGAACATGGGTGAGTATTTATTTATTTTATTTTTTATTCATCCACTACTTATTGTTAAGTTCATATTTATGTACAATATACAGGTATACTATTTGGTAAACAAAACGCAAAAACACAATGACCCCGAGACACGAGACAAAAAATAATACAATTCATGTCAAACTTACATTAAACCTTCTTTTTTTTTTTAAAATCTTCTATTTTCAGTAATGATGTTATGAGCTATTGTTTAATTAGTGACACTTTCAAGCCACTTTTCACTTGTTAGAAGATCTTAGATTCAAGCATTTTAGTACCTGACTCGATGCAACAAAGTAATTTTAACATTTTAAGATTCCGCTTTTCTTTTGTACAATGTAATTTGTTGTTTAAGTTCCAGCAAAAATATCACAATTATCCTTGAGCAGTTTATGCATATTGGTTTAATTTTGTTTACATTGCTTTGTTTACTGTGTGTACGAATTGTATTAGACAAATAAACTTAACTCGCCTTGTGTTGGTGACCAGAGGCAATACAGCACAGAGTAGCAAAAATGTGTAACGTGGCAAAAATGGATTGCAATATATGAAATGTTTTCAGCTTACTATTTATAGGTGCCATTTTAGCACTTTGCACAATTTAAAAGATATAAGATTTTGTTTTGAACTGTCTTTTTATATGACAACAGTGCTTATTTTTCATCATGCTGAAACCTGTGGATAGTTCTGACCAGGCCCGTTGACAGGAATTTGGGGGCCCGGGGCAAGAAGCCTTACATGGGCCCCCTTTTGATGTAAATTAATAGGAAGAGTGTCCAATTCTGGGCCCCTAAAACCTTGGAGCCTGCGATAACGGACCCCTTTGCCCCCCCTTTTCCTGTCTACTTCCCCCCTTCTAACCTGTATGCCGTTTTAGGTCATCTGTGGAAGTTGATTCCCACTGTCGTGATGGTGGTCATATCCGAGGTTGCTGTGGACATTATCAAACACGCTTTCATCACCAAATTCAACAACATCCGTGCAGAGGTAAGACGCTGCTTCATCATCACCATTGTAGTCATCATCATTATGTGTAATCGTCCATCAGACAGCCGGTGTGAACACTGCTCCAGATTAGTCACAGGCTTATATTTCCATAACATATCCCCTCTTTCCTCAGGTGTACAGCGAATACAGAGCCAGCCTGGCCTTTGATCTCCTCAGCAGCCGACAGAAAAATGTACGTTTGAGTTGATAATGACTGTTATGTAAGCCACAGTTTGCCTACGCAGCTAATCACGGCGCTTGTATGGGATGTACACTATAAAAAATGTATAGAGTAGGTTTAAATGAGCTGTATTATGCAAAATTGACTCTTGAACGCTTTAAGTCATTATCTTCAGAAAAACATACCTGGAGTTGTTTTGTTTCATTCATACATGTTTGAGTAAACCCTTCGTTATATTACATAACACTCTGTTTCAGCTTGTGAAGAAGTAGTTTTTACATTAATAGCTACGTTTTACCTTTAGTTCAGTAGAGATTCCAGGGCTGAAATGATCCAAATGATTCTAGTGAAGGTGTATAGAGTTTAAAAACACATTGGAGCACTTCCTGTATTACCACATGAACTCGTGTTAGCTTTTGTTAAATGTGAGAATGAAACAAAACACAACTCCAGGTATGAATTTGATGAGGAAACATAACAGAAAACAGTGTAATATGAGCCCTTTAACAAGTTTAAATCGTTTACTTGTTAGACCTCCTTGGCTTGTTTCAAAGTATTGCCTCTTATTTCAAACTATACTTTTTGCCAATTTGCAAGAAAACTTGTATACAGCCCATTGACTGATTTTGACAGGTTATTTTGAATGCAGTCAGAAAAGCTATGAAAATAGGAACTGCACCTGTTTCTAAAGAACAGGAACAGAACAAATTTATTTTAAACTGTCTGTAGTGGTCCAAAGTTATTCCTCACTTTCCTAACGCACTCCAGGCATCCTAATTATTCACCGGGATGAGTTTATAAGCGCTTTTAACAACTTTCAGAGGACAGACACTAAGAAGATGAACATTCTAACAGCGTACCAGCATTACTTCCTAGTTTCCAGACGATAAAAACAGCCCTACCCAAGATATATTGAAATAATTTAAACTTATGTTGAGATTTATTTGCAGTATTCAAATTGCTTTTGTCTGTGTTATAGGCTTATACAGACTATAGTGATTCTGTTGCCCGCAGGATGGGCTTCATTCCTCTGCCCTCTGCTGTTCTGGTAAGAGAGACACAACATATACACAAACTTTTAATTGTTTGAGAAAAAAGATCACCATTAACATGGAGTGTGACTGTTTCTGCAGCTGATCAGAGTGGTCATGACTTCAGTGAAAGTACAAGGAGCACTGGCATACACTTGTGTGTTCCTCTTGTATCTTGGGTAAGTATTTGGAGCAAAAATATTTGCTTGTGTAGTACTTGTCTTGCTTGTGTTCAAAATACTAACAATACAACAGTGGCTCAAGTTGCAGAGTGGTCATTAAGTTTGATGGTTAGATCTACGGTTACCGCACATTTTTCAAGTATCAGTATCGATGAGTCCTCAGACAAAATCACTGTCCGATACCAATGTGTAGTTTCCTGAATAAGGACCCATAGATGCGAGCCGATGCTGTTTACCTCAGTGGTTAATGCTACCACTAATGCTCAGAGGAGATTAAACACAGATTCTTTTCTGCAGACACTTAAAACACGCGTATAATAACAGAAAAGACATTTGTGTAACCTCTTTGATACCTTAATTTAGCCTTTAGTGTGGACGCTCAACTTGGTAAAATAATTAGGAGTGCAGCCCGAGAACAGCAGCAACAACAACAGGGCTAAAACGGACTTTGTTTACTCTGCATAATTGGCCAATGTGCCCCAAAGATGAGTGTCTTTTTACACGCCTCACTTTTGTTTTTATCGACCTTGTGGTAGAAAGTGAAACTGCTTAAATCTGCTTAAATCAGCTTAAATCTTATTGTCAAGATCATTATACATTTCACCAATATTTTAGTCCTCAAAATCTGAATTATTCCGGCATTTCTTTAAAAATAGCTTTTTAGAAGATTTATTTTTGTTCTTGTATGTTACAAAATCAAGTGGCCTCAGTGTACTTCTTCACACTATAGTATCAGCAGGTATCGGTATCGGCAAGTATACCACAGCCAAGTATCAGTATTGGAACAACACTAGTTAGATCCTAGTTCTGTTGAGTACATACTGCTGTTGTTGGCAAGACACTTTGCGTTCCTTGCCTATGAAGTTTGCTTGTGAAGTTGTGTGAGTGATTGGTCACTCACTGGCAGTCACATTTCCATCAGTGAACCTTTTGAGAATCTTGTCGCGGGCTGCACAGTATTGGAAAAGATTATGATATGATACTGTGATATTTTAATATACTTTTTTGCATACTTGAGAACCATGGTATTAATGTGATAAATTTGGTCGGTTGCAATACCGATTTGTCGTATCACTTAATGTGATGATACAGTATCGATATTGGGGACTGCTGTATGGATACTTCACCAAGAGCATTTTTTTGTATATTTTTCAAAATTATTTTGTTACAGCGCTGCAGTTTTGTTGCTTGTTTAGAGGAAGGAAACTCGTTTATGCAACACATTTGACATTTTCACTGTTTTGATGATTAAAATTGACGTGTTTCAGGTTCACTTTACACAAGAAGTGGTTTAACTAAGACTTTTAATATTACAGCCATGATTTAGCCATCATTGTTTTATTGAACCGCATCAAATCGATTTGAAATATATCGTATTGTATCAAAAGTGCACTGTATCAATGTATGTATTGTATTGGCAACTTCTTAATGGTACCCAGCCCTAGTTACAATATTGAACAATTGCTTCAGCCAGTTTTACAATATGATTACTTTGGTGATACAGTGTGCAGCCCTATTTGTAAATCTTGATATCATACCCATTATCATAATTATATGAGATATTTGAGAATATTTTCTAGCTATGCTTTATACCACTAAATGAATAGCTTTATATACATTGATTTCTCATTTCCACTGCTCTCCCCCTCTCTCATACTACACCACACACCCAGGATCACTTACATAACCATCAGCCTTGTCCTCACATCTGCGCAGACCCGATTGCCCCACGCACCCACGTCCCATTGGGTTTGTACCATTCAACATTTCCCCCGGGGGCAGACAGTACACAGCATCATCATCTCCATCGCAATCTGTAGTCTTACGCGTGAAGAAGCCATGACTTTAAAAATAGACCCAGTGCTCCACCCTGTCACAGCCACACTGCTCCATAGACCCCAAAGTGTCTTCCTGCCTCTCGTCACATGTAAGCCACAAGCGCATCAACATCCCGGGCCTGCGTCGGACAGAGGCAGGGAGCAGTGGGAGATGGTGCTAAAGATTCAGTATTCTGTGAGCTAAATGCAAAGCTCTAAACATGCTGATGAGATGGGATTGTTTTTATTACGTAACTTCACTCTTTCAGCATGATGTTGATGGAAAATAATTAACCCGGTTTGTTCCAGTTGTATCAAAACAAATGTTACGTGGTTATCGCAAATGAAATGCACTGAAAAATCCGCAATGAATGGAATACATTACCATTATAAACATAGAAAAGAGAGGCACTATGTTGCTTTTAAATGATTCATATAAATAATATTAAAGGGCCTATCTTATGCAAAAAATACTCTTGTGAACTTTAAACCATATTATAATGCTTCAACCTCTTCAAAAACATACCCAGAATTGTGTTTTGATTCATTCACACATGTTTGAGTAGTCCTTTATTATTAGTCTCCATCTCCAAAGCTCAAAATAGTCCACCTTGTGATGTCATGAAGCACTTTTTTTCCAAACTAACACCTACCGTTTACTTTTTTCTTACATAGTGCTTTTCCAGACGTTCAGATTCACTTTACAATTATTACAATTATTCGTTCACTTGATACTCATACTAGATAATGTGGGTGAAGTATCTTGCCCAAGAACACAACAACAGCAGTTTTTGCCACAGACGCCCAACCATGGCACCTGATATTCCTATTGGTCTCTTTCAAGTGCAAACCAGGTGAGATCAGACTATGACAAGGAGGTTAGTTAGTCTTAGGCTCTGCTCTGTTCACTTGGTTTGGTAGTTCCTGGTTTGGCTCTTAGACTGGGTTTAGTCTTGGTCTTGTCCAGGTTTAGTTCTGGGTTCAATCACAGTTTAAGATGTGGTGAGTGCATGTGTGAACACAGTCTTATTGGTACATCATCATCATCAATCATATTTAATCTCTTACTTCATTCCATGGTAACTGTGGCCCTAAGTGTAGAAGTAGCCATTGAGTGTCCCGAGGGAGTGAATAAATAATGGCCTACTGTAGCTCTAATAAATGTTATGTGAATCTTGCATAATTGAAAAGGGAGACAGCAATTTAACAGTTTTAACTATTCATGTAAGTGTTATATTGGCCTCTCTTACTGATACATAAGTGTATAGAGGTGTGCAAAAATACTGAAATATCGATAACGTGGACTGCTGTATCGGTATATGTCCAAGAGTATTTTTTGGTATATGTTACTAAATTATTTTGTTACAGGGCTACAGTTTTGTTGCTTGTTTAGAGGAAGGAAACAGGGTTATGCAACACATTTGACATTTTCACTGTTTTGATGATTAAAATGGGCGTATTTCATAAGAAATTTGCACAAGAAGTGGTTTAACAAAGACTTTTAGTATCACAGCCATGATTTAGCCTTTGTTTTTTATTGAACCGTATCGAATTGATTTGAAATATATCGAATTGTGTCATGGCCTATGTATCAAGGTATGTATCGTATCAGCAACTTCTTAATGATATCCAGCCATATAAGTGTACCAGAAATATTTGAAATATCTTATCAATAACTACTGAAGAATTGTAAAATTAGTTTATTGGGTCATAAAATTCTCAAAATCCATGACGACAAACGGTAAATAACTTTTGTGTCTGTTTTTCTCTTTTCTTAGACTCCTCACACTCAAAGTTCTCAACAGTATCGTGCTGCTGGGGAAGTCCTGTGTCCTCATTAAGAGAGCCAACATGGAGGACAAACTTTATGAGCAACCTGCAGCTTCAGAGAGCACAGCCACCACAGAGGCAACACAGAATGACACAGAGCCAGCGCCGTGTTCTACTCCCACAGGTAATCACCATACACACTGAAAACCATGGCATTGTAGATGTTTTTTTATGCTGAGAATATCACAGTTTTCTTGGAGCCACAACCATTTTGATTATATTATGACTCGTGCACATTAGTATATATTGGCTTGAAAAGGTAAGTAAGATCATTATGCTTCGTCTGCCCACATGCGACATTGCCATAACTAGTAAAATTGCTGTAAATTCTAAATATCATGAGAAGCTAAACTAGTTAAGTTCACATTTTGCTGTGGTCCAAAATGATTCCTCTCTTACTTTATGCTTTCAAAACATTCAAATTAATCACAACTTTCAGAACACTTTTCATATTAGAGCGGAGTAGATAAAGCAACCAACATGCTAACGTGCACTTCCTTTATAACAGGGTGCAGACAGTATTCGTCTAACCCGGTGTTTCCCAAACTTTTTTTCTGCGCACCCATATTTTAAAAGTCACAAACCTTTGCGACCCTAGTCAATAGACATTATTTGTAAATCACAAAATAAAGGTGGACCATTATTGGACATTAATGAGAATATTTTATCGCGTCTCTCTGAACAATAAGTATTACTTAAGTTTTGAACAATGAAAAACAGCAATTGAACCAGCAATAAATTATATCCATAAATCGCCTATTTGGGCATTAAATGTAGCCCATTTCTTTTGAACCATCAATATTGGAAAAAAATAGTCAATAAAATAATTACAAAAAGATTATAAATTATACAAAACATGTCTTAACATTTCTAATGAGATAGGTGGGCCTGTTTGCGTTTTTGTAGCGCATTCCAGTCCGGGGTGCAGGAGGAGAGTGTAACATGCATGTCAGTGTCAGAACTGTATATTGTCGACCTACATGCTGATCGTGGCAAGGCAACCCAAAAAACATCGCAAATCAGTCTTTGGGAAACAATGGCCTAACCTATTTTGACCTCAAGAGCTGCTTATACAATATATCTGTACAAAAATCATGTATCAAAAGGCTGTTTAAACTCAGAGTATGACAGTGACTGACCAATAAGAGAAGCAGGTGGGGAAAAAGGCTGTGATCTGCCTTTTTTGGTGAACCTGACATGTCACGATTGACAAATTTTCTGTTCCACTCAAACAATTGCATTTCTGTTGTCATATTGCCCAGCCTTACCTTAAAATTTCTCTACACAGAAAGTGAAATAGTCCCACCATACGGTCATATATTCACTCAGAAGAGGCAGTTATTCCTCCCCTCACAGCTGTGTCCCAGTGGGAGAGTGCTGTGCTGGGATCCTGATGGTGCACTCTCTGTATGGTGTGGCATCAAATATCAAAGCTCCACCGAGCCTCTATTGATACTTTGCAGTTGATGTCGTCAACATCTCTTGGAGGTGTGACGCTAACTCTGGTCTCTGCTCTGTCTGAAACTTTGTTTTAACCCAATCTGACCAGAAGGAACTAAATTAGTTGGAACTGCAACCGTTGAGATTATTTGTGCGGTTAAACAAGTCTCTCACACATCAGATTAGTAAATTTCAGGTTTGTCACACTCACCTTTTTTTTGTTGAAAACCAAGTACCTAAACAGGACCATGAACACTCACATTGATCACATGCTCCTGAAAATGTGCTGTTTAAATGACTTTTGTATTTTTTTCTTCAGTTTTCAGACACACCGCCATAGAAATACATGCAGTACACCCCCGGTATGGTGTTACTGCACAGTATCAATTCATATTTTCTGCCTCTGCACAAAAACTGCCCCACTATAGGCTGAAGGCTTCAACATACTCATGGATAATGGGCACTGAGCTGGGGTTACATTAGGAATTCCATTATCTGTCATTATGTTTTAAGGAGGCCATAATTACAGTTTCACAATTAGTTTTTGACACCATGACTAAATAACAGGCTCTAATAGTCTATTAGACCTGAATAGATCGTCATTCTTCCACTATATGTAACTTTTCTGAATGATAACATGTTAATATGATATACACAGATATGCTTTTTGTCTTTGTGGTGTGGAAGTAGAGTGAAAGAAATTACTTGTTTAATTTTTAAGATAAAAAATACACAATATTACCACAAACATGCCAAAGTATGGCTGGTGATACGACAGAAAAATGTATCAGTGTAATGTATGATTTTTTTTTTTCCTCTTATTGATCAATCACAAGTTTAAAGTAAAAATAAATAAATACCTTTTTCAATATGAATTTCCTGAACTTAAACAGTACAGACTTTTTATCATTTGATACTTAAAGGTCCCATATTATGCTATTTTCTGATCTATGTTATAGTGTTGTTTCCTTATCAAAAACATACTGGTTGTGTTTTGTTTCATTCACACATGTTTAAAACTGGAGCCCTGCATTTTTAGGCACTGTGTTCTTCTCTCAAACTGAAAACACTATGTTCCACCTTATACAGGAAGTGTTCTACCATGTTTTTAGACTCCATACACCGTCATTAGAATCATTTAGGTAATTTCCATCGTGAAATTGCCAATCTCTACTCAGTTAAAGGTAAAAGGAGCTCTTAAGTTGAAAACTACCACTGCATGACATGACATTGTGAGCTTTGGGGATGTAGACCAGTGTTTCCCAAACTTTTTTTCTGGGGACCCATATTTTAAAAGTCACATACCTTCGCAACCCAAGTCAATAGACATTATTCGTAAATCACAGAATAAAGATGAATTTGACCAGTATTGGTCAAGTAACAGTCCAGTAACATTAATGAGAATTAAATGTAGCCCATTAATTTTTGTTTTCAATATTAAATTGAACCAGCAATACTGGAACGAAATAGCCAACAAAATAATTACAAAAAGATTAGAAATTATACAAAACATGTCTTAACATTTCTAATGAGATAGGTAGGCCTGTCTGCGTTTTTTGTAGCGCGTTCCAGTCCGGGGTGCAGGAGGAGAGAGCAACATGCAGATCAGTGCCAGAACTCTATATTGCAGACCTACATGCAAATTGTGACAAGGCGACTCAAAAAAAATCTCTTGCGATTCACCTGAGGGTCATGATCCGGTCTTTGGGAAACAATGATGTAGACAGACTAATAATAAACACTTACTCAAACGTGTGAGAATATGTTTTTGATGAGGTAACAGCATTATAACATCGCTTAAAGCTCAGTCAGTTTTGAGTAATATAAGACCTTTAAGAAAGTATGTGTGAGTATGTGAACAAATGAGAGAGAGACAGTCAGTTAGTAATTGTTTGGAAACCACTTTTATAGTTGCGTGTAATCAAAGTAACTAATTTTCTCCAAACCATGATTTATTTAGCGTATCAGATTATTCAATAAACCATGTTAGCTACAGATCCTTCATATCGTTGCTCTTTTCAGTGTGCTTGGGAAATAGCACAGTTGTCCCTTTTACAATAACAGTCACACAACAGTAGAAATGCCATCTGCTGTGATACCCCCTGAGGGCAGACAAGACTTATGAGCGCTCCTGCTTTAACATATGGTGAATAGGTTTTAATAAAGCTTACACATGTTTTTCTTACAAACTACTGAACCCAAATGACTCCATCTCCACTCCACTGCAACAATATACAACATGACAGCCACTTCTTGCAAGTTTGAAGTTTGAAGTTGTTGTGTCATGCTCCAGCTACTTGCCAAAATGAAAGAACAAAACTTAGCAAAATCATAAGTCATTGATAGCTGTATATGTGAGCAACAGCCTATTCAACCTCTTGCAATAGGCGACATTTTGAGGACTTTTGTCAGTTCAAAAGATAGAACTAATTTCAGTGTTGCTAAGTTTTCATCACTCTGAAACGCTTCGAGATTGTCTACAAGAACTATTGAAATGAAAGTATACAAAATGAATAAAAAAAAATGCTAAAACGTGTATTCATAGTTTTCAGTTTCCAGATTATATTTTTAATTGCTATGGCAACGCTGCTTATTTTTCATCACATTGAAACCTGTTGATATTGTCTGCAAGAACTATTGAAATGGTTGAAAAAAGAGTTGATTCAAATAACAAAGAAAAGACAGATACATGGGTTTCAGCTTTCTGTTTATATTCTTAATCGCTATGGCAACGGTGCTAGATTTTCATCACTCTGAAGCCCATTCGAAAATGTCTGCGCTCTTGGATTAATTTTACAGTCTTGGGTTAATTTTACTGTCTGTCATTTAGTTGTACATCTATGATCAACAGACCCATTTTTATGACACATGAACAGAATTAAGTCTTGAGTTTCTCCACAGTTTCAAGTACTACGTGACACCACACAAGACTGCCCTGATTAAATGTTTCTGATTACAGACACCTAACTACAGGGGCGCAGTTTGTATGTGAATACCTGTTTGAGCAGGGATGGGCACTTATTTTTTCCATGGGGTCAGAAACAGAAAATATTGTGGAGGGCCAAAAGTCTTAATTCAATTCTACATAATATTAACTGTATTTCTTTATAAAAAGCAGTAAATAACATTGTTTTGACAAGTTGGTAAGACTGGGAAGAGTTTATGTTATGACTAAGCAATGAAAAGTGATGTTGCCTTACAAAAAATGTCATTTAAAAAAACCTCTAAAATAAAACCAATGCAGCTTTAGTCCATGCATGAGATAAAATAATAAAATATGTTTATTTTTATATTTTGTAATTCCAAATTAGCTTAAACGGTCCAGTCGGTTTCAACCAAAACTGTACAATGCCCAGGTCTGATTTAGACCCATTACGCTGTTCTTATACCTCCAGACCCCACCCCTCTTCTTCCCTCCTGAATCAGTTGGTTAAATGGGCAAGTAAGGTGTTTGGCCGTCCTCAGAGCAGCCTGGACTCCCGTTACTCAAGACAGTTAGAGGATGTCTCAGAGTATTTTAAAAACGTGCAACATCCACTAAATTCAGAGTTTCAGGTGCTTCCCTCTGGTCAGAGGCTTTTAGTCCCAAGATCTAGAACGAAATGTTTTAAAAGGAGCTTCATTCGAGCTGCAGTTGCACTTTAACCTGATTCATCAGCCGGTTTCACTTCATGGAAACGTCTGACCTCACAGCATTAGAATTCATTCTCTCGACAGTAGCTGGGTACTTTTTTAAATTTAATCAATCACTGCTATTTGTTCATGACATATGTAATGCGCTGCTAACGGGGCTAACTGGTATATTTAGTTTTCCCCAAATCCAGTAGGAAGAAGGACAATAATGTCTTTCCCCTTGATAAAATTCACCAAACATTCTCTTTTGGCTTTAAATCCTCGATCTTGGGAATCTTTGCCAACACAGAATGTATGGCTCTTCGCTGATTGGCTGGTGCCCGGACTCGCAATTGCAAACAGTCTAGTGTATTTCGATTCCTGACCTAGTCGCTGGAGAGAAATGAAATTGAGCGGAGGCACTAGGTGATGCCAGCCTGGCTAATCGTACATATGAATAAACTGTAATCTATTTATCAATTTTAGCACATTGCATTGGAAAAATCATGTTTTTTTATATATATTTAATATTTATTGTGATTTTAGCCAAGTGTGATAGATTAATTTAATTAATTATTTATGGAACAAAGCCATTTTGCACTGGAGCACTGTAACAATTAATTTTGTAACTGCGTTTTTATTCGTGTTTATTGTATATAATGTGGATGAATGAAATGTGAAATGTGGGACCTGCCTCTCAAATCTGCAAAACAAATTTACCTATGAGTACGAATAAAGCAATTTGACCTAACCTAACCTTTAGTCCTCCAGCTACTGCCTAGTTTAAGTTAAAGGTGCATTGTGTAATTTTTCTGGTGGAGTGTCTCTCACCGGCTTATTTTTGTGGAGATGTCAGTGCTCTGCCTGGAATGTTCCACAGTGTGACATTAAACAGCTCTACCTTATATTTATCCAGTTACAGGTAGTTTTATAACTCAAAAATACCTAGAAAAACAGGCTTCTCGCTGTGAATTGAGTGAGCTCGCCTCTCTGCGGATCTGACTTGTATTTTGGTCTGGGTGATCTCCATGAAGATAGAAAGGATTAATACCATATTGTGAAACATTCCAGACAAAGCAATAACATTTACACAGAGAAAAGCTTTTGACGGACCCTCCACCAGAAAAGTTACACAATGAACCTTTAAGTTCTCTCATTTCTAATCCCTCTCGTCTGTCCTCCGCAGCCGAATCCGTGGAGGAGCAGCTGCCCGCCACGCCCCCCAAACCCCCCATCCCCATCTCCTGCCAGCCCACCCCGCGGACCGACCTCTTCCCGCCTCCCCTCATCGAGGTGCACGTCCCCGCCGTCGCCGCCACCTCCGCCATCACCATCACCGCGACCATTCCAGACAACCGGCCCTCCACCCCGCCGCCGGAGCCTGAGCAGCCCATCCCCTCGCTGTCCAAGGAGGAGGAGGGGGAACCAGGCGCCGACTCCGAACTGAGACAGAGGACTTCTAAGAAAGAGCTACTGGAGATAGATCGCTTTACTATCTGTGGGAGCCGCATTGACTAAAACTGAAGAGGGATGGACAAAATGTAGCGCTTAACCACTCAGGGAAGCCTGCCGGCAGCGGATTACAGTATTTATTATTGACAGTATCGGCAATACATAAGTTATTGGGTGGGTGATGTTGTTGAACTTAACTAATGGGTGAGAATGGTGAAAAAGGGTGTGAATGTGTAGCAGCTTTTTAACATAGATTTAAAGGTACACTGTGTAACCTTGTCACCATGGAGATAGATGTATGGCGTTGAACTAATAATATATCTTGCATTTATTCAATTAGGGATGCACCAATCTAGCTTTTTCAGTTCTGATTTTGAAACTATAGACCTTTTTCACAAAGGCCAGAAGTGTCGCAATGTAGGGTAACTGTCACTTACTTTAATGCTTTTCTGTTGCAAAATGTCTTGCGTATTTTGCACCAGCTTCATAAATCAACAAATCTTCATCCAACAAGGTCGACAAAGGAAATGTTCTGTCCGTGAAGAATTTATCCACAACTATCAAGGTAAGAAAGACGAAAACTTAAAGCGAACAACGACGAGCATTAGTGAACTACTCCTGAGCAAAACTAACATTATGGTCATGAATAAAACATAAGTAATAAGTAATTCGTGAATAAGTAACTTGTGAACTCAGACTGATTCTACAGTTAAAATTAAAAATCAATTTCATGTTGTAGATATTGGCATAGACAGAGAGATTTGTGCAGAATGAATGCTACAGATGTTCACAGATTACATGTCCAGCATTTAAACTGCACAAATCTCTCTGTCTATGTTATTATCTACATCATGAAATTGATTTTTAATTTTAATTGTAAAATCAGTCTGAGTTAACAAGTTACTTATGTTTTATTCATGACCATAATGTTAGTTTTGCTCAGGAGTAGTTCACTAATGCCAGTCGTTGTTCACCTTTATGTTTTCGTCTTTCTTACCTTGATAGTTGTGGATAAATTCTTCATGGACAGAATATATGAAGCTGATGGAAAATACGCAAGATATTTTCACAGATATTTTGCCATAGAAAAGCATTAATCGTAAGTGACGTTTATCCGTGCCCATATCCGATACTAACAGATACCAGTGTATGGATTGAAAACGTTTTCTCTCTAAAATGTTAACAAATGTTATCAAATTTTTATGCAGTCTTATTTATCCTGCAAGTCACTACTGAATAGCTTTGTATGGATTAAAGTTCAAACATTAGGAGCTGCCCTTGGCCTATATCAGTCAGTACATAATACCAGTATCTGTATCTGTGCATCCCTATATTCAATTATGGGTGTTTTTGTTTAGTTTTTTACTGCAAAGAAAATCATATATTCGTACGGTAAGCAAGACTGCCTCTCCAGTCTCCAGGGATAGTTTAATACTGTATTGTGGAACATTCTGGGGCAAAACAATAACGCCTTCATCTAGACTAGCAGGTGAGAAAAGTTACATGGTGTACCTTTAAGTGCTTGGTTAGTGGTGTTTTGGACCAGCAAAATGTGACACTTGAACTATGAGTAACTACTTGCCATGTTCAAGTTAAGTTTATTTTGACTCAGCGGCTTGAAGTGCAATATGCCTTGTACGGAGCTCTGTATGATTTTTGCACTTAATTTATTAACATGGCAAAAAGAATCTATTCAAATGAGCCGTCTCATTTGGATTACTTGGTCAACATTATTTCCACAGTGGTTCAAAGTTGAATTATAACATGAATAATCATAAATGCAATGCAATTCCTTTATATCTAATATGATATAGGGAGCAAAACTTTATTTTTAGCTTCAGAAATGCAAAGTAGTTTCGCTTATACTTCACACAAAAAAGAAAGACATTTTAGACTTTAAATAACTTTTGGTATACGTTTTATACTGAATTACTGAATTTTAAAATGTATGTATGGTATTCAGTGGAGCTCAACAGTCTGACCCACTTCGATGTCTGAATTCCTACATTTTCCTCATAGACTTTTCCAAGAAAATTTGATATTAATAGTTAAAAGGCATCGTGGTGGCTAAGCAGCAATGTACAAACCAATATCGTAACGCAAACTACAAAGTTTAAAACACAAAATTCTGTGAAAATGTTAATAATTTTGCCATTTATAAAGATTCACTGACAGAGTTTACATAAAAGTATAAGTCCTGTGGTCATTCGTTACCACGTAGCGGATTAACCCTGAGCAAGCTTTCAAACTTTTAATATCATAATTATTTAGTGTATGTAGAAAATGGTCCGTTTACCATTCGTCCTTTTGAATTTCAATGAAGAATGAAAAACAATAAAATGGGAAAACAGTTTGAAATCGTCTCAATTAAATTAACTTTAGACTTAGACAAACTTTATTGAGTCACAAGGGAAATGATTTGAACACAAGCGCTCACACATCACGATATAATAACAAAGAGTGAAAAATATATATGGTAATAATAAATTTCAAATAAGTAGCAAAAAAGATAGCAAGAGACAGGTGTCAAACAAAACAAAAAAAACTTTAATTCTGTTTTTTTTTTGTTTGACACTAAAATGGAATAATGAAATAAACAGTTTTCCCATTTTATTGTTTCCCTTCTTAATTGAAATTCAAAAGAACGAATGGTACACAGACCGAAAATGAATTGGAAATGTATTTCTGGAACCAGGGCGTGCGTGGTCACTGTTGAACTCCATTAGCTTACACTATTTAATGACAAGTCAAAACTTCATTTGTTTAAGTTTAATGTTGCTGAAAGAACAGATCTTCTCCATTCCACAAAGGTGAAGAACAGAGTGACCAAAAATGCCACTGCAAAATAATGTGTAAAAATGATTGAATGACAAAATGGTGTGCGTGAGCGTGTGTGTGAGTGATAGAGGGCACTAGCACTTCAGTACATCTACACAGGGAACCTATTATTTATAAATTAATGACTCAGCTTCTGCTAATTCAAATGTGCCACCTGTGACAACCCGTATTTACACATTTCTGCAAGATTAAGAATGTCATGTTTCAACTTGTTTTAATGAGAGTGGTGCCAATTTAACGTTTTTGCCTTAACTTCTTCAGCTGCCGAGCTTGTTGTAGGTTAAAAATGGTCTCAAACAAGTAGCTTCAATTATAATCTAAACTGTAAAATGTTCTAAAACTACAAATATGACAAACAATATGATGTAGCATGTTAATTAACACACAATTTATACCTGGATCGTTTTCAGGAAGTTTTTCCAAAGTATTCAAGATGCACTATGTAACTGATGATGGAGGTGCCACCTGCTTTTTTCCATGCAGCTGTTATTGCTTTTCCTGGAGTCCAATTCAAGCAAAGCAATAACATCTCCATGGAGACAAACCAGTAGCGAGCACTTTACTGCCCTACAAAGGCAAAAGACCTTAACTCATCAGAGTGGGAAACTGAGAAAAATGACTTCAAAGTTTCTGTTTTGTCCAGACAAAATTATAATAAGCAGGACTCCCAAAATTTGATAACTAGTTGCTCTAATGAGTAAATATTTGTATGCGACAGATACTGAGCTCAAAATTGACCTTTGACCCTTATTTGTCAGTTCCTGTTCTCTGCCTTTGTATCATGAACCAAAAATAAGGAGTCGTGCAAAAGGCAAAAGGCAGGGACTGACATGATCATTATTTGCTTGATTTTCTCTAGACTTCCATTCATTTTAAGAAAACCTCGCCAAGGTCGAGCCATCATGGTGTTTGTTTGAAATGATATAGAAGACCTTTGGATTTCATATTTAGTGCTGATCAGGATCGTGCGGTGACAATTACACAGTTAAACAGTTTGACAGATGAGTTACTTTGCAGTATAGTGTGTACAGTATGAGTAAATACATCAAATACTTTCACATTAAAGATAATTTAAGTATAATTGAATACAAAGGTTTATTTATTTAATGTGTTAAGACCCTGTGCCAAGGTCGCAACAAAAAGAAAGAGGCTAGAGGTTGGAAATATTTTATCAACTAAATCACAAACAAAACAAACACAGTCACTGCCTTTTGTCTTTGCACGACTCCTTATTTTTGGCTCATGATACAAAAGCAGAGTACAGGAACTGACAAATAAGGATCAAAGGTCGATTTTGAGCGAAATATTTTTCACGATATTTATTCACATGACAAAGGACGTCTCAAATACAAACAAAATATTAGGGCAGTATACCAGTAAAGTTACAGAGTACATCTTTAAGCAAGTTCAAGCCAACAAGCACCATTGCATATTAACTGTAAGAAGAAATGTACAATCAACCACAACGTTAACAGTCACCACTAAACCCAAAACTACCCATACCGAGAAACCTGAAATAACATTAACAGTATTTTCAAATGCGATTCATCAAAGTGTATAGAAGAACACATTTGGAGTCATGTTGTGGTACAGAGATGATGGCGGTATTGTTTACACAGATAAACACTGAGCCGTGTAGAGCGATAAGACACAGACGCTTTTATCTCTGTCACACATGGGATACGTTTCATTACATTTCATTTTGTGCTCAGAATGTTTTCGCACTGAATAACCGCTCTGTCTTACATCAGTTTTGCCATTAAAGTTTACATAGAAGTGATGGGAGCGATATATATGTACCTACAGGAATGCCTTTACAATATGCTTCAAAATACTGAACCGCATTTCAGTTTCTACAGATTTCTAACAGCAGTTTACAATGCCAAATAGTTATCATACAATATGTCATTGATGCTAAACTGCCAAATGTTCACTTCACTACACATTTGTGTTTACTAAACTCTTTAAAAGTATTATGTAAGCATGTACTGCATGGCATAAGTGCATCTGAAATCACAGTAGTCAACATTCTGCAAAAGTTCATGGAGAAAAAAAAATGCTCTGTGCCAAAAAATCTGAAATTTGGGGTAGAAATTTTGTAGAATATGCCGTTTTTAGAATGAGATTACTGTTTTAGATTGATGACACTAAAAAATTAATAAATTACATATAAAATACATTTAAATGCAGACGATTTATTTAGCATTGTTGATAAAAAGATGTATATACTTGTAAGTGGTTCTGTTTTCAGAGCCTTGAGTGGTCTTCTTTACACAAGTGTGGCCCTGGTTTCATGCACTTTTATGGGGTTGTGTTAGCGGTGTTCCTCAGCAAGTTCTCACACACTGCCTGCTTTTTATCTGCTTGGTTTACTGTGTATTTAATTAATGACATTTATATTGTGTAAAGTATTTGTTTATTTGGATTAATTAAAGTTGGTTTGTTAATAATTAGTGTGTTCTTTGTGAATCCTGCACATCATTTGACAAATTAGGCTCCATCTTGGCTTTGGGGTGAATAACCTTGTGGGACAGTAGTTGGTATGCCTCACAGAGAAGAAAAAGAAGGTTGTGAGTTCAATTCCTAGACCATGTGACTGGATGGCTTTCCTCTTAGTTTCCCCCACCAATCTCAAAGTACATATATGTTTTATGTTTTCTAATTATTAAGGCAGGTACGAAGGGCTTTTTTCTGGCAGCTTGAACTTTTATTTAAAAAAAATAGTCTTACAGGTTACAGTTAATTACCTCTGCTATGGAAGATAATTTGTTTCCGTCAGATTTAGAATTTTAGATACCATTCAATTTTTCACTTTGAATTTTTTAACTCTGAAAAAAACATGTTTGAATTATTTTAATTCTGAATGGCAGCTGATGAAATTTTAAGTGTACATTTTCAAAGTGTTTAAAATTCAATTTTTAAAATGAAAAAAAAAAAAAAAATTCACCTTTTAAATATTCAGCACAAGCCCTCTAATTCATCATAAAATTTGCAACAAAGATCCAAGATGCCAAGGCAAAAGCAATCGATTCAAAGTGATCAATCTAATTTTGTAACAAGTAGGAAATGATGCAGTGAACCGATCTGATTGGTCAGAATTAGCCTCATCCAAACATCAAACCCCGCCCACAGGTGAGACTGGCCAATAGGAAACTGCCTCTGTCCTCCTCACTCACACATTGATTGCTTCTACCTTGTCATCTTGGATCTTTTCACTGTGAATTTCACACTCTGAATTTTGACTGTTGAATATGAGGGCTTGAAAATATTTGTGCTGTATATTTAAAAAGGTAATTTTTTAAATGTATTTATTTATTTATTTACTTATTTTTTTTATTTAAAACATATTTAAAAAGTATACTTAAAATTTCAGCAGTAAAATTCAGAATAAAAATCATTCAAACATCTTTTTTCAGAGTTAAAAAATTGAAAGTGAGAAATTCAATGGTATTTAAAATTCAAAATCTAATGGAACAAATTATCTTCCATACTGTGACATGTCATGTTTTTTGCCCTTGTCCAACCAGGCAGTCAGATTCTATATTTTACCACAGGTCTCTGCACTGGCTCCTGTGGCTCAGAGAATAGACTTTAAAGCTGTCTATGCCCCAGCACTGTCAAGCCCGGGGGCCAAATTTGGCTCGCAATATAATTATATTTGGCCTGCAAGATCATATCAAATATGTATTAGAGCTGGCCCGCCGGCTCCAGATAGACTATAGCGATCTTATTTATTTAAAATGTTGTATTTTATATTTTGCTTGTTCTGGATTCAATGTTTAAGCAAAACTATTATTAAACATTTTTTTAAATAAGAAAAAGTTTAACATTACATAACGTGAAAGAAGAGAAAACATGCAGATGTTGTTGAAATTTTTCAATAAACATTTAGTTTGGCCCATGACTTAGTGCCAGTTTTTAATTATGGCCCTCTGTGGCATTTGAGTTTGACACCATTGCCCTAGCGCCAGGGTACATCTCTGACATGTTAGTGCCATATGAACCATCTCACACTCTGGGGAGCTCAGAGACCAGCCCAGAGTCAAGACTAAACATGGGGAGTCAGTGTTTCAGTTTTATGCAGCTAAAACCTGGAACAGTCTTCTTGCTATACAAATAAACTTGCCTTGTCTTACCAAACATACAATAAATGGAAAGATAAGCAATTTTGTTTAGTGAAATCTTTAATACAGTGATGTTAACTATGTTGTGATGATTTGAGTAGTCTGATCTGTCATACACACTTTAAGTAGTACAGTAGGACTCCTGAGAAAGATTTGGAGCAGCGGTCATTCACTCTCTCCTGACAGCTCATCCCGTGTGTTATTGTAGGTAGGGTTAAATGACATTGTGCTATGGGGAGCACTGTTAATCCTTTAGACAGCAGCTCTGACCTGTCCCAGAGAAGTGTGCTCAGAATATCCACACATTCTTAGAGCCGTAAGCTGCTTATGCTGCAGACAGAGACAGTGGAGACAGCTTCGAGCAGCTCTCAGGCACTTTTACCAAGACCAGTCTGGGGGATGGATCAGGGAGTACCAAGCTCTGAGTGAGGGACCACGAGTGAACAGGAGAAGAGTGCGGCTGTTAAGAAATGTTTAGTTTTTCAATATAATAAAAATGTACAGAAAATGAAAGGACCTTGCACTGTAAGAAGTTGTGCACATGATAAAAAGCTGCTAACCGAAATGAAAGGCAATTTGAATGTGAGTCGTATGATCATAAAATACTAGCATTTATAATAAGTTCAAATCATTTTATTGTAGATAGCAGCTGATCTTCAACATTCCCTGAGGCTGAAGCTAACTAGAGGCACTGCTCTGCCTGAAGCTCTTTTACTCAAGTTCGACTTTAATCTTTTTTTTTTTTTAAACACCTTTTAACTAGGCATGTAATTATAACTGAAATATCGTGATATCGTATCATGAAAAGTCTCACAATAATATCATGGGTTATCACAATATATCAAACCCCAAGTTCCTTTGCTTAAATGCATGGTTTTATAGTAGCAACAGCTTATAAACATAGGGAACTACATATCCCATGATTCATTTCAGTGCAGACATTAAGGAATATGTTTTTTACTTGAATTCTTGGGATTATGACGGAAATAATTCACACCAAAATCTTGTCAAGGTATTTTAAAAGCAAAAAAGTGTCCCATCTACAATTATATTAGCTTCTTCCAAAATATCGCAATAAATATCTTAAAGTATATACATATATACATAGTAGTAGTAGATTATTTGGTAATTTTGCAGCACTACAAAACAAAACAAAACAAAACATAGACTACAAATCCCATGGATCATGACCAAAACAGTACTTATAATGCCAAACCCTTTTAAACAATGACAGAATTCATTTACAATTTCACTTACGACTTACTGTACATATAAGAGACAAAATATAAATTAAAACAAACAAAATTTTATACATAATTCATTCCAGAGCTCTATATATTTCAAAACATAAAGCTTTATACTCTTTTTGAAGGCTTCTACAGTGTTCATCACTCAGATTGTTCCATATACTAACCCCTCGAACAGAAATACAATCACTTTTTTTTTCTTAGTTCTTATCTTCATTTTTTTAAAAGATGCTCGTTTTGTTGTTGTTGTTTTTCCATTTATGGTCGTAAAAACTAATAATAATGTTAACAAAGGCACAAAATTTATCGTTTATGATCTTATCAAAATTTTAAAAAAAAGTATTGTTAAAGAAAATGTTAAAGAAATACATACATACGCACTAGATAGATAAGTTTAATGTCATACTGCAGAACATGCTGTATCCATGGAGACCAGCAGGTGGAAGACCCTCCATCAGAAAAGTTACATGTTGCACCTTTACACTGCAATAGAACACATTTTACACATGAGGGTATGATTATATTTCATCTATGTGTTATATTGTTGTAAATAAATGTAGATATAAACACAATACAACATCAAAACTAATCAAACTTCTTCTGTCTTCAAACTTCAAAACCTCAAACTTCTTCAAACTTCTTCTGTCCTATATTGACGATAACATGAGAGAATCCACCATTTTGAGTCCTATACATTGTGCATTGACATTTAGGTTCCTCCCTCTGTAATAAATGATCCGGACCGCCGTCATGGCCGTCCCATCAGAGCGGGTCAGCCTCCACAGCGCAGGTCCTGTACTCCCACTGATCAAAGGCCCCTGCATAAAGGGCCCCTGTGTGGAGGAGCCGGGGCCCCATCTGCTCCATACCACATGACACACAACAGTCTCTTTGTACAAACAGGGAAAAGGAAGACTGGCGCCCACCTGACCACCACTCGGCCAATCGGAGCGTCTGGCTGCAGCTCAGGTATGCCCTCAGGTCAGAATGGAGGTCAAAGGTCACGAGGACAGTGCATTATCTGTTGTTGTTTGGGAATGGTGGGGTAGGAAGTGAATTGTGTAAAACTATATGTTTTATTTAATAGACAATGGCTAGTAGGCTTTTACTTGGCTATTGCTTAGAGATGCACCTTTGGGTTTAGTCAGTGTGCTCTGCTTAATGCTCTAGAGGATCAAATTTGAGTCAGTAAAGTGAAGCAGTAATCATTTAAAACCAGTAGTGTATTTGCAGTTACACTTAACATGTCCGGCTAAAACTGAGACTAACTTGCTTCTGGTCCACTTGAAAACAGAACTATAGGAAAAATATTTAATAAAAAAGCGAAGGAGATTAATTTGTAATTTGTAATATTCTAGTTTTAAATCACTGATCAACTTAAAGCTGCAATATGTAACTTTCTAATTGCATAATATTACATAATTAGAAAGAAACCATAGGCCTACCCTAGAAAATTCACCACGGAAATAGATTTTATGCCATACTGTGGAAGATTATAGCCAAAGGGATAAAATGCAGGAGGAGGGCCTCCTCAGGCCAAATATAAATCAGGTTTGTGGAAGCACAAGTCCTCTCAGATGTATGTTTTAAATGCAATCAAAAAACAAAATGTTCGAAAATTTCATTCATTATTTATCAAGTTATGAAATAATTAATGAATGTATTATCATATTATAATAATTACTTCTAGCCATGTTACCTGAAATATATAATAGACTCAAGTTGCAGAAAACGTGTGACTTAACGTTGAATAATTTAATGTTTGTTGGACTATAAAGCAGTTTGTTATTAGATTAGATTTATTGTCATTGTATAAAATACAATGAAACTTCGACAGAGCAAAACAGCAGAAGTAAAAATGAACACACAGTGAGACACATTCTCACATCCATACCAATAAAAATATTAAATAAATAAATAGATTATTGCACTGAGTCCCTTCAGGCCTTTTATCTGTGCCTATGTGCTTGGAGCAAGTCCACTGCTCGTGGGTAGAAGCTGTTGCACAGCCTTTTTGTGTGTGAGGGGAGTTTGAAGCCTTCGAGTGGGGAGAGTGCAGAAGAGGCAATTGGGGTCCTGCAGGATGTGGGAGGTGCGTGTGTGAATAGGTGAGGAACAGATGGTGGCCAGGTCCGGGATAGAGGATTCCACCACCATCTCAGCTGTTCTCACCACTCGCTGCAAGTCCTTCTTTTCAGCAGCTGTGCAGACTCTGTACCATGATGTGCAGCAGTATGTCAGAATGCTTTCGATGGTACACCTGTGGAAATTGATCAGCAGCTTCTGGAAGGGCCTATTGCAGTGGAGTGTTTGCAGAACAATATTATTTATTAATATGGTTGATTTGGGATTTATATGATCATCATGGACTTCTTATTTCTCATAAAAAATAACAGTAATTTACAGTTTGCAACCACACAATACATATGCTTATATATATATGTATGTACATATGTGTCCAGCAGGAGGAGCCCTTCCATCTGGACCGTCCCTCTCTCTCAGAGCGCGCTCACGACTCACTCCAATGACGCTGCGCGCTCCCGTGGCCCACACACAACAGTCGCTAGAGACGCTGCTGGAGTGGAGACAGGACAAGTGCACTCAGCCACTACATCCAACCTATATGGGACCGAACAGCGACGTGGAGCGAACACCGAGAATCCTCACCACACCAGCCCGCTTTGGGAGGCTCTGAGCTCGGGAGAGACGATGCTCAAGGCGGGGGTCTCCCCGGGCAGCACCACGTAACGAGCTGCTAACTGGACTTCACATCACGACGTCGGTTTTACGCATAATTTCTCGATCGAACCAAAGCGTAATTCTTCGGACTCCACTTTTACGCACGGGTGGAGTGAGCTGGGCACGATGTGGAGGTTAGGTGTGTGGTGGTGCTGTGGGGGCTGGTGGTTCGCGGGGAGCTTGAATCAGAGACGGACTTAGGGAGACTTCCCCCGCCGGAAAAGTTGGATTTCGGCTACGTCCCCGCGGGAGTTTACGAGACTCTGGCCCATTACGAACCGGGACCAATCGGGATTCTGTTTCAGCTGGTGCACGCTTTTCTACACGTGGTACAGCCCAACCCGTTTCCACACGGTAAGAATTTATTTCATTGGCTATTTTTGGCGTGTTAATTACCGTAGGTTTCAGTGAAAGTGTGTGGGGATGTTGTGGTTTGACTGGACTTGCCTACTTGGCACCAAATAGCGTGAACTTGACCCGAGGCTTTAGAAGTGTGCCACTGACCAACTGTGGCTGTGCGTTCTGTCAAGATAAATTAACATATGTGAGCTCCAAGTATTTACGTACAATACTTATGCACCAAAATCAAAACTGTCGGGCTAAATGTGTTGTCTTCCAAGTAAACCAAATTAAAGTAGCATCACTTATGTTAAAGGTGCATTGAGTGACCAAATGTCTCTATTTACCCAGTACAGTCCCAGTTTTGAGCCTGTGTCCTCTGTCCCATCAGATTCATTCAAAACCAGTGATTTGTCCCAGTTTTATACAAGAAATGTCCCAAGTGTCCCTACTTTTGCCTTAAACTAAGATTAACCAGGACAATATCAACTCCAAAACAGGACTATCACAATTTTTGAATAATCTGATCCCCGCCAACAGTAAAGAGGAGCATAAATTGTCATTTGTTGAGCCAAAATACAGAAAACTATGTTTGCGAATGACCATAAAGCAAATTTTAGAATTTTGGTCACCCTAAAGGTGCACTATGTAAATTTTATGGTGGAGGGTAGAATACACCTGCTTGTCTCTGTGGCTTTTTTAACAATGTTCCTCAATATGACATTACACATCTCTTGTATTTTTCCAGTAACAAGTGTAAAAAAAGAACGCCTCTCTTGGTAGTGTTCTCTGCTTGTCTCTGTGGAGATGCACACAGGGGAACTTTTCAGGAAAAAGCAATAACATCTCCAGGGTGACAAGCAAGAGGCAGACACCACACCACCAGATATTGTTACATGATAGTGCACCATTAACTCGTTTCCATGGTATCAAAATATTATGGTGTTAAATCACTGATAAATACAAAATTCATTTGTATATTAAAGCAGGCATATGTTGATTAATAGTCTTTTACACTGCATCACCTTGCTAATTTTCTATCTTTTAAAACAATTGCTATTTTATGATTGTAGAAAGCTAGTTTGAATCATCTGTGTGGTGAACCAGACCAGATGAACCAATGTGGGGCTGCAGACTCTGCCAGGTTTGGCATTACTGGACCACACTATCCACCAGTGATGAAAAATGGGGCTTGCCATAGCAAAAATCAAAACAAAAATTCCAATCTTTGAATCAAAAGGCCTCAAAATATCACCCATAAACTGAATGGATGAAACCTTTGAATACAATTTGTAATATTGCACAGTTGTTGCTTGGTTATCTATTTTGCTTTGAAGGCTGTTGTTGTTGTTGTTTATTGCCATAGGCTGCCATATAGAAAGTGAGCATGGGTGCACTTCTGGCTCTATTGACTCTGGCTCCAATTGACTTTATATCAAAAAAAGTCATCCCTCTCTCTGTAACTGTTGTTGTCAAGCTTGTGTTTTTGGCCTAAAAATATTTGTATTAACTTACTCTATACACGATCATGCTGTTTTTATTTTGATATTGTGCCTGTAAATAAATTCATATTCCTAATATGTAACTCAACTCCAAATTCACTCCTTTAACTGCTAGCCTCGTGAGCTTCATTTGACTAAAATATGAACATCTTCTCAAATCATGTCTGGGGGGTTGACTCAGCTACTATCTGCAAAACATTCTTTGACTGACTAGCGTACTAAAGTGCTCACACGTAACATTGGTGCAGTGGGTCATCCAGAGGGTTATCAGTGCTAACCTCACACGAGCATGCTGCTGTTGTATCCCTGAGCAAGACTCTTCACATTGCAATGATTATCCTCCAGTTTCAGTACATGTAGCATCAAATCCCTTTACTTCCACAAATCTCCTGTCATTTCAGCATTAACCAGTTAGCTTCCCATGTCCAAAATTAGCGTCTAGAATCATGTTTTCAATACAGACATTTTGCAGATTAGCTGTGCCGCGAGTCACCTTGTTAATGACCTAATCCCATAATCCTTTGCTCCATATGTTGTTGGCCCTTTAAAGTTCTAGTTACTCACCAGTGCTGGCCTGTAATCCACTGCCCATTCAGAGAAATGGGAATCTAAGTGGAAATAAAATCATGCGTCGAGTCTGCTTTTCGTCATCTTGGGTTCAGCGCCTCGGGGATTTCGCTAATAATTTTGAGTTCATCAGCAACTTGTCAGCAAAGGTCATGTTTATTCATAGTAAGCCTGCACAATCTAGGAAATATATCTACAGTATGTTTTAATAATAGGATTCTGTTCAAAGCTCTCCTTGAACACGCATCCAGTATTGATCAAAAGACTGAAATATGAATTGAGAAACTAATAACATTTCAGAATATGTTTGTACAGATCTAAACAGCAGGGTTAGCAGATTTAATATGAAACAATGGTACTAAAAAGTTGCTAGAATTGTAACTGAGAAGAACTGAGTAAAATGGGCAGTTGCTTTGTAGCATTATTCATCCACCAGTTTCACTTCGTGGAAACTGTCTGACCTCGCTGCATTAGGATTTGTTTGCTCGATGGTAGGCGGGTACTTTTTTTATTTAATCAATCGCTGCTATTTGGTTGTGACGTATGTCATGTGGCGCTAATGGGCAAACTGGTTATTAAGCTTTTCCCAAATCCTGTAGGAAGAAGGGCAATAACGTCTTTCCCATTGTTAAAATTCACTAAACATTCTCTTTGTTCTGGCTTTAAATCCTCGATCTCACTTTGTCTACTGTTGTGCCGTACCACAGAAGGGATCGAGACAGGAGCTTGAGTTTGACGTCATGGCTTCACAGCTCTTCACTGATTGATTGACTGATTGATTCACTGATCAAGAAATGAACTTGAGGCACTAGGTGGCACCAGCCTGGCTTGTTGCGTTGTAGGGTTGTGGACAATGTTCGTATTAACCCGCTTTACATGATCCTAGTGTTTTTATTTTGCCTTTTGTCAATAAATGTAGTAGTTGGCTAAAAATCAATTAGTTGATTATCATTCAGGCAAAAACAACTATTAATGCAAGAAAAAAAATTACTTGGAAACACTATATTTATATAAAGACAGATTAAACTTGTGAATCATGAGTTTAATCTGCCTTTTAACACATAAATACCAAAACTTATCAAATCTTCAGCTAGCTCAGTAACTAACTTTTTCTGTTGTTGTCCAATATAAATCCTTCGAATCAAAATAAAAAGATTAGTTAACCAGTTAATCGACCAAACAACTAAAGGCCTGCAGTGCTATTACGTTGTGTTTTGGTGCTTAGTTCCAATGAGAGTTTTTGTAACATCAAATTTACAAATGAAGTACTTGTTAAAACACATTTATTTGCAGTTGCATTTATTTTATTTTTATTTTGAAGAATTTGTTCTAATTTCATTGGTTTAAATGGAGGACAATGTGGACTTTTTAGAAATGCTGTTGCTTTGGTTACTGTTTGTCATATCAGAGAAACAGTTATATAAAAGTGTGTGTCCTTGGGTGTAAATCATTTGAAGTGTTTTACTCATTGTGTTTAGTGGACAGTGCGTCCTTCACTCAAGAGCACAGACTAATGTAACAGCTTAAGAACAGAACACTCACTTGAGTTCTCCAAGCCCAGCTGCTTTTCTGATGATATGGTCCATTTTGTTTTGGGATTGGAGAACAGGTGGTTTTTTTTTTTTCCATTTTGGATTTTCTATTTCAAAATGGAAATGAAATGGACAGCAGGTAAAAGGAGCTACAGTGTGGTAAACGATTGAATTGATTTAGGCCCTTGTATTAACACTTTTAAAGAACACACATATGGTGCTTTTGTCTGCTATATACCTTAGTACTGGTGCTTTTCTTTGCACAAAATACCCTGATATTTGCTTGCCTTGTCCAATCCATTACTGTACACTAGAGAAAACCACTTGTAAACATCAAACATGCAAACACATCGGTACCTAACAAATATATCTTAATTTTTATGAATCAGAATATATATGCAAGCATTTGGTAGGACACTCCGTTCAAATGCTAAGTTTAGATGAATAATTATAATTATTATCTTACCTTCACGTGTCCTTCCCATTACGACGACAGGTATGCTATCCAGCTATCCAGATAATTAGCTTCTCTCCCGATTAAAAAATAATAACTTTGGATGAGCAGACAGTAGAGCAGTAACATATTTAACCAACAGATGCTGTTATTAAATCACAATATTTATCTAAAATGACTTAATAAAAGAAACAAGTCTGCTGAATGGGAGCTGAAGTTGCCGTAAACATCATCACAACAAAGAGCTGTGCTGCTGTCAACACCAGCGATGGATATCTCCACATCACACTAGTGAGCAGCAGATACTTAAAGCCACAGTATCAAGTGTAATTTCTAGTTGTAGTAAACACTAATATGTGATTCCATCCTTTATTCTTCATTACAAAACCCAGTTGCTTTAAATAGTTTGTTCTTGGTAAGCTGCTGTGTTATATTTTAAATATATCGAGATAGTTTTTAAACTCGATATGAATTCTGACATATCGTATATATCGATATAATGCTTATATTAAATTTAGAATTCGCCGCTTCGCTTGTTTGTCTTCTCTCTCGCTGATTTTGTTCGCTCGTGTCTCCTTCACTCCTCACTATCGCCGTGAACGCCGAAAGTTGGTGCCAGTGAAAAGCTTCAAGCACCACGAACCTTTTCCACCATTTACAGACAAAACCATCAGCAGCACATCCTCATATTCCACCGAGTCGCGTCCTTTAGCCCGAAAGAAGCTAAACGAGCTGAGCTGCATGAGAAGTTCGCTGTTTATGCAAATGAGCCATGCGCTTAAGTTTCGTTTCTGTAAAACGTAAACACACGTGCGCAAAACTGCATTAAACACATTATAATGTCAAAATAGCTGATGTGGCTCTAGAGTCGTTGTGCTTTATATATTGTAAAGTTTAGTAATGTAAAGTTTATTTATGGAGAAGATTTTAATGAATAATCTGCTGCAGTGTCACTTGTAC